TGCCTTTAAAAAATGTCTCAGTTTGATTCCTGGAAACAGTCTGAAAATTTTACCTGTTTGTAGTATTCCAAGTCTTGTTAGTCTTAATGCTTGGGAAATGTTCTTAAATGTGTTTCTTAAAGAAGAGGTGAACATATTCTTCTTTGTTATATGGGAAACGGCCATTTTTCAAGACTTATGAAACCCATTTGTTGAAAGTTATCAGCAACATACACAAATGAGAAAATACTATTGTATAGGTAGATAAGTTACATTAGTGTTATATAGATGTTAAGCTTGCTTTCCTAATGTACATTTTCTGTTTTCTTCATAATAGATTATGATTGTAATGAGATGAAGTACTGGACACAGAAGAATACTACTCAATAAATGTATCTCATATAGTTTTAAAACTACCCATTAGGATTAAGTATTCAGTTTAGTGGTTAACATTATTTAGAAGTTTTCTTTATAGTTAATTTGGTGAAATTGGTAAAAAAAATTTCTGGTGTTCATATTATCTTTATTTGGTTGTGACTTTGAAAGGGATAGTTGAACATTAATATCTTGAATGAAAAGTTGGTTATGTTAGGATCCAGACTGGAATTCCATTTAAGTAATAGTTCGGTTATGTACTAGAATTTGGAAACCATTTTGTAATAAGGTTTGACTTGGAGTTATTTGGTAGAAAGAACCCTGAAATACATTTTTGGAATTTGATTCTTCATATTCCATCCTCCACTTTTTCATCCTGAGTACTGTTGTGTTTTTAGGTTTCTCTCTGTACTTTTTAGTCAGCTGTTTTTTAAAGACCTTCCTTGGATTTGAAGAAAGAGATGTTAAGACAATGAGGGCCACTGCTTTAGAGTGTGATTTTCTTGGAATAGTTTGGAAATTTAAAGTCTGAATAAAGGGAATTTCTGTGAGGAGCTCCTACTCCAATGATCATAAGTAAATACAGTGATCAACATCTGAGACATGATCTACTAGGTCACAATTATGCTGGGTCAGTGAAGTGATTTTTTATTGTATGAGTGTTCTGTTCATTTTGTAAAGAATATGATTTGACCCATTGCACTCAGGTGGAGCCAAATTCATACCGTTTGATTCAAGTTCAGGAACTTGGATTTAGTAGGCTTTATGTGAGTGGCTTTGTTTTTCAGAGGTAGACTTATTAATGTAGCTTATAGAGGTAGATGTAAGTATAGAATGGAAGCCAGCATTTTAATGTTCCATGAGAGAGAAAGCCTCAAGACAGTCCTGAATGGTTTATTCTCTCTTTTGGAGTTAACTGAAATAGGAAGCCAGATTTCTAGAAGATTGTGTTCTGGTGAAAATAGAAATAGAACAAGAAGATTTAGGTAGATTAAAGACCTATTTTTGTCCGCAGATTTTTGAGATACCCATTCACTAGATCACCAAGAGATACTCCAGTCTGTTTACCTGAAAACAGGGTTTTCTTGTAACTTGCAGTATTCTTGGGAAGATGGTCATCACTTCCATTTGGGTCTGTGGGCCATTAAAACAATTCTTTAAAAAGTCATTTTACATTTTACATACAATTTCACAGAAGTTAATAATAAGGGATGCTGAAGGTCAACATTAAGTATTTTAATGAGCATTTAAACGTAGCAAAATTAGCTTTTTTAAAAAAAAATGTTTATTTACTTTTGAGTGAGAGCGAGAGAGCGCATGAACAGGCTAGGGGCAGAGGGAGCCAGAGACTCAGAATCCTAAGGCGTTTCCAGGCTCTGAGCTGTCAGCACAGAGCCTGATGGAGGGCTTGAACTCCTGAGCCATGAGGGCATGACCTGAGCTGAAGTCAGACTCACCACCAACTGAGCCATCCAAGTGCCCCAGCAAATTCAACTTTTTATTCCATATTTTCCTCGTTTTGATAATACATCTACCTAAAGTGAGAACAGATCTCTATTACTTATTGCTCATCTGCTGTCAAGCATATAAATCCAGAATAAACTCATCTTACAAATACTAATGTCATATTTAAAACACATCTAGTAAGTTCTGGTTTATCATTTCATTCTGGTTCATTTTACAGTACTTTAAGAATATTTTGGAACTTTTAGTGGCTTCTAATTTTATTGAACAGAGCATTGTCATCTTTGTGCTACAATTATACCATTTTCATATTTAACCGATTGCATTGACTAATCCATTGAATTTTTTGCATGTCTTTATCATCTGTTTCTTTCTAGTCATCTTTGCATGCACAGATGTTTTGGCATTTGTCCATTTTTGAATTGTATGGGGTACATTTTGTTGTGCAAACAAAAGATGAAAGAATATGGTCACATGTCCTTTTAGAAAAAACAGAATGGTCCACAGTCTGGTCTCAGGATTTTGTATGATGAAGTCCCAATTTGAATTATTAACTGGATGAGAATACTAAATTTCCTTTTTCTCCTTAGAAGTGTATTGTTTGGGAATATTCATGTAGGTTGTCGTCATCTAAGAGCTTCATAGTGGGAGAGTCACAATCATCTTTAGAATCTAGAGTGCTGTCTCTGCATCAGTCCTGATTCCTCTAATAATTGTAAAATCCCTTCCTTTGTAAACTATGTCTTTGCAGTTATGGGTGGAAAATGAAAAATTCTGAGTTCTTTAATAAAAAATTTTTTTTACATTTATTTTTGAGAGAGACAGCACAAGTGGGGGAGGAGCAGAGAGAGAATGAGACACAGAATCTGAAGCAGGCTCCAGGCTCTGAGTTGTCAGCACAGAGCTCAACACAAGGCTCAAACCTGTGAACCATGAGATCATGACCTGAGCCAGAGTCGGAGGCTTAATCAACTGAGCCACCCAGGACCTCTAAGAATTCTGAATTCTTAATTGTTCAGTGAAAATCAAAAAGACTGCAAGAATGGTGTCTCCAGTTTTTTATACTTTCTTCTTGAAAGACTATGCAGTAAAGAAACTACAGGATGATGCAGTAGTAACACTATATTTCACTGTTGTGTTCTTTCAGGTGATACCATCACTCTTTTTTCTTTAGACTTTTTAAAAGTACAGCTAGGAATAATTGGTGGATGATGATGCAGTAGTAAAATGTTTCAAGATAGAGAAAAAACAGGATCACTAAATTTCCGCAGAGAGGTTCCATTGGATACATACAATAATTGCAAGATAGAATGAATTTTGTTTTATTCTAAAAACTTTTAAATGTTTTTATTTATTTGTTAGAGACCGCATGAGCAGGGGAGGGTCAGAGAAAGAGGGAGACAGAATCTGAAACAGGCTCTAGGCTCTGAGCTAGCTGTCAGCACAGAGCCCGACACGGGGCTCGAACCCACGAACTATGAGATCATGACCTGAGCCGAAGTCAGACTCTTAACCAACTGAGCCACCCAGGCGCCCCTGTTTTATTTTAAAGAAAGTAAAATTTATTGTATTTTGGAGACCTGTAAGAAAGGATAAAAGTTACGAAGTAGATTTGCTCATAAAGAAATGGCAAAGCTAAAGTTAAGTCCGCTGGAGCCTGAGTGGTATATATAGGTCTTCCTTTTTGTCTGATCATGGTGCACTGTGAAGTTGATCATGAGACTTTGACTTACTCATTTACATTTCCAGCATTTCCCCCACTTTAAGGTTACTTTTAGATGACTTTAGTGAAGCTTTAGGCTATTCGAAACTATTTGCATATTAATAGTTTTCACTTAACCCATAGATAGATGGGTGTTAACTTTGAATTTTTTGGCCTTCTTTGCAGAGACATCCTTAGTTCATATAATCAAGATTTTTGTGGGGTACTTCTTGGTCATCTGTTCTTCCAGCCTCCCCTCTTCACTCCCCAGATTTCCATGTGTTGAAAATGATAAACAAGATGCTGTATTATAAGAAATAACTCTAATCCCTAATGGAATCTTTCCTAATGTGTTAACAAGCTACTTGGTAATTACAAATACAGAGCGTATAAGAAAAAATTTTTTATGTAGGTTTTTAAGATACTTATGTACTAAATTTATTTTTATTGTTCAGTAGAACCATTTGTGCATTTGATTTGGGTTCTTCAGCAAGGAATCTGAATACATCCTTGAAGGAATTTTAAGATTGGGTTTCTTTTTGAAAACAACTCTTGAATTCAACATCTTAAAAATAGTTATCAGATATCAAATACATCTTAAATGAGTTCTAGCTTATCTTTGTGTCTGTTACTTGAATCATCAGAATGCAGTGCTTAAAGATGACAGTATTGATGGAAACTGGAAGAACTGTTTCACACTGTGTTAAACTGTTTTCTAAGAATAAATTTTTGAAAATACTAACGAATAGAGGCACCTGGGTGGCTCATTCGGTTAAGCGTCCGACTTCAGCTCAGGTCATGATCTCATGGTTCGTGTGTTTGAGCCCCTCGTCGGGCTGTGTTGACAACTAGCTTAAAGCCTGGAGCCTGGTTCAGATTCTGTATCTCCCTCTCTTCTCTGACCTTCCCTTGCTCATGCTCGCGCTCTCTCTCTCTCAGAAATAAACAAAACATTTTAAACAAAATTGAAAGAAAAATACTTATGTATAGGAAACTAAAGAATTTGGAATTAGATTTTTTTTTTTAAAGAGATTTTATTTTTTTTTAAATGTTTCATTTATTTCTAGGAGAGAGAGAGAGAGACAGCGTGAGCAGGGTAGGGTCAGAGAGAGAGGGAGTCACAGACTGAAACAGGCTCCAGGCTCTGAGCTTGCAGTCAGCACAGAGCCCGATGCGGGGCTCGAACCCACGAACCGCGAGATCATGACCTAAGTGAAAGTCGGACGCTTAACCGACTAAGCCACCCAGGCGCCCCTGGAATTAGATTTCTAAGGAGCCAAATTGGAAATATCCCCATTTGGGATTTCCAAAAAGGGTTCGGTTTTTCAGTAGTATAATTTAATGTACATGACTCTTTTATTAAACTATCTGTAACACACATACAGTGACATTTTTGTTTCTGGTTTTAAAATAAGTCATTGTTTATGTTGAAATCTTTCAGGATGAATAGATAAGGACTTTTCCTCCCCCCTCTTCTCAGGTGTATTCAAGAGCAAATGACCAAGAACCATGTGGATGGTGGTTGGCTAAAGTTCGAATGATGAAAGGAGAGGTAAGTAATGCCTCAACTCTCGGTTTCTGTAAATGCCACTTTAACTCTTAGTATTGTTTCTAACCACCTACTTTATAAATAGTTCATCATACATTTAAAAGGTTTATCAGACCATTAATTTTCATTTGTTTTCTGAATTTGCAAACATTAAAGCTGCTCTCCAGGGGTTTACTTCAAACATGTGAGGACCACCAAGGTTCCTGGTTGTAAGAACATATAATCTAGTTTTAAAGCAAAACAGATTGATGTAACTAAGCTGTGCTTAGTATTTGTGCCACAAGGGGGAGGGTCTGCTGGTTAAGCTGAGCAAGGCAATTAGAACTTCATTTAAAGCTCATTATTTTTGTTCAGATGGGATTTTTAAAGTATTTTTGATGTCTTTTAGTTTTATGTCATTGAATATGCTGCTTGTGATGCCACTTACAATGAAATAGTCACATTTGAACGACTTCGGCCTGTCAATCAAAATAAAACTGTCAAAAAAAATACCTTCTTTAAGTGCACAGTGGATGTTCCTGAGGATTTGAGAGAGGCGTGAGTAGTTTTGATTACTGTTGAATTTCTTTGTGAATTAACAGGATTTTTTTAATTTTTTTAGTGTAACCAAAATCTTTTTTCCCCCCCAAGTACCCAGTCAAAAACTTCTGATAGAAAATCTTTTTAGTAAAGAAAAGTTTTAATGGGTAGTGTCAAAATTAGTTTGTTCTGATTGCTTTCTGAATTTAATCTATTATTTAAGTCTTAAATATGAATTAATTCCTCCCTAGGTGTGCTAATGAAAATGCACATAAAGATTTTAAGAAAGCAGTAGGAGCATGCAGAATTTTTTACCATCCAGAAACCACACAGCTAATGATACTGGTAAGATAACTCCATATCTTAAGGTAGCCGGTGTATATTTTACATATTTTATAATTAAATATTTCAAAAGATAAAAGCTAATTTTGTATATAGTGCATTTATTAATCTGTATGGGAGAAAAAATTTTTACAGCTATAAAATGTTAAATTCTTACCTTTTGTGGAATAAGGAGATAAAAATAGGACATTCTTAACAACATGAAATTATTAATGTGTGGGATCTTGGATCCTCCTGTCTCCACCAGTTATAATTTGAATATCAGAAATAAATAGTAGGGGAATTCAGAAAAGAGCGTAAGAATACTTGTGGGGAGAGGCTGTGGCGCGTGAGGAGAGAAGTATAACAGATGAGAATCAAGGAAAGCTTTATGTGGAAGGTCTTTGTATGATCTTGAAAAATAAGATTTTTTGAGTGATTAACTTGTTTGTTTATAGTCTGCCAGTGAAGCAACTGTGAAGAGAGTAAACATTTTAAGTGACATGCATTTGCGAAGTATTCGTACGAAGTTGATGCTTATGTCCAGAAATGAAGAGGCCACTAAGCATTTAGAAGTAAGTGGGTTTACTTAAAAGATTTTTTTATGTGTCCCACTTAGTTTGATAAGTATATTATTCACATTCCCTGGCTCAAACTACTTGACTGTTAGGTAAGGTAACTTGGGACCTGTTCTTTGGCTAATATCAGGAGTCCTAGAACAATTATTTCTGTTACTTTCCCCAAACATAACCTTCTGTTTGTTAAATGCCTGCTGAGTTTTTTTGTTAGGACTGAGATAATAGGTGCCAAAAGAACTTAGAAACTCATTAGGGATGTCCAGTAGAACTGTATTGCTAGTTTGTCTTTATTCTGTCCTTGGCGGTTTTTACTACCCTGTAAACTGTCACTTATAACACACTTCTATTAGTAACTAGTTCACTGTAATAACTTCTGTAAGAAGAGAGGAGGACACATAGCATGCACTTTTTAAAAAGAGCGTATCGTTGCTTTTCTGTCCCATTTTAAGGCACTCTTCTGTTTTCTCCTACTCTTCACTGGCACGCTGTTACGAGATCCCCCTTCCCAACACACATTCAAATCTTTGAGAAATTGAGGTTTGTTTATTTTTTGGGACAAATTTGTGCATACCCTTACTCATTTAAAAGTTCCAAATAAGGGAAATGTGAATGAGTTGTGAAAAATGAATCCTCTGAATTGGAGAACTCCTTGTATCAGTAATTCCAGAACATTGTTTTAGAATTGCTGTTTTCTGTGACCATGACTAAATAAATTGATCAAACTCTTTTTTTCCTCTATTATATGATACCAAATGAGTATCCTTTAAATATTTTTTCTTAATTCTTTTTTTTTTTTTTTTAAGTTTATTTATTTTTGAGAGAGAGTCAGAGACAGCATGAGTAGGGGAGAGGCAGAGAGAGAGGGAGACACAGAATCCCAAGCAGGCTCCGCACCGACAGCACAGAGCCCGATGCGGGGCTCAAACTCACAAACCGTGAGATCATGACCTGAGCTGAAACCAAGAGTGGATGCTTAACTGACTGAGCCACTCAGGTGCCCCTAGAATTTCCTCTTGAAGTCTGAATCTTTTTATATGTATATATTATTTTATCTGTTCAGTTGAAATTTCATTTACTTCTACTTCTTGACTGTTAGGAATAATGCTACAAACATGGGCATATAAAAAACTTCTTGTTTTTAATCTTTTGTAATAAGTTCTAATATACCTCTTTTATTAGTGCACAAAACAACTTGCGGCAGCTTTTCATGAGGAATTTGTTGTGAGAGAAGATTTAATGGGCCTGGCAATAGGAACACATGGTAGTAACATACAGCAAGCTAGGAAGGTTCCTGGCGTTACAGCTATTGAGCTAGATGAAGATACTGGAACATTTAGAATCTATGGAGAGGTAAGCTATTGACTGACCCCACTTTGGGCAACTTTATAACATAACTATTGTTTGATTGTATTTTCCTTGGAATTTCAATTTCCCAGTGATAAAATACCTTAAAATCAGTCAGTGCAGTTAATCATTACATGCATGGAGGTGGGTTGAAGAGGATATTGTATTATATGGGGCAATGAGAGATTTAATGAGTATTTAATATGTGCTGTTTTTGGAAGTTTCTTAACCCAACTGCTTTTTTTTTTTTTTTATTTCTAAGAGAGAGAGACAGTGTGAGCAGGGGAGGGTCAGAGAGAGAGGGAGATACAGTATCTCAAACAGGCTCCAGGCTCTGAGCTGGCAGTCAGCACAGAGCCTGACGCGATTAACACAACTGCTTCTGATTTTAACTCAGATTTATGTGCATTATAAATAATTCACTTTTTTTGAGGGCTTCCTATGTGTCAGGTACTAGTAATTATAAATAGCATTTAATAGAGGAGCCTTTAAAATTTTTTTTTTTAATATTTATTTTTGAGAGAGAGAGAGAGAGAGAGGGACAGAGTGTGAGCGAAGGAGGGGTAGAGAGAGAGGGAGACACAAATTCTGAATCAGGCTCTGGGCTCTGAGCCATCAGCATAGAGCCAGACATGGGGCTCGAACCTACAAACTATGAGAACATGACCTGAGCCAAAGTCAGACGCTAACTGACTGAGCCACCCGGACACTCTTAGAGGAGCTTTTGAAGAATTTGAATAATAAGTTGAATAATTGGACAAAATGATTTTGTCATCAGTTAATTGTGATATTTGGGTGGCCTGGAAAATAATAAATCTGAAAAATAAATACTTCATACTTTTCATCAAGACCATTTTTCACATCAGAATAAATAGATGAGGTTTTTGGGGTGATAATTTCAAGTCTTCACTTTTCATACATAGCTCCTCATGAAAAGCGTGGGTCATTTAGTGACTCTGACTCTAGAGGACTGATTTTTTTTTTTTTTAGTTCTGAAACCTTGTGAAGTGGGCATTAAAACAGTAAGTAAGACAAAAGGCTTTGGAGTCACACTGCCTGTATTAGAATTCTGTTCCTACTACTTGGAATGAACTTGGAGAAGGTTACTTAACTTCCGTGCATAATTTTCCTTATTGTAAAAGGAAAATAATAGTAGAGCTTATATTGCCGTTTGTGAGGATTAAAAATGCTTAAAAATTTTTTGTGTCCTATGGTATGAAGACACAGTACATTTCATCTGTGGTTATTAAAGAACAAACATTAAGAGTGGATGGTAACTTACTGAGAACTACAAATTTTCTTTAGGGAGGTTCCTTCCCCAGTGTTCAGTCTTAAAATTATACCCATTGGAAGTGAGGAATGTTAATGATCTCTTTTTTTTTTTAATTCTTTTTTAATGTTTACTTATTTTTGAGAGAGAGAGTGTGAGTGGGGGAGGGGCAGAGAGAGAGGGAGATACACAATCTGAAGCAGGCTCTAGGCTCTGAGCTGTCAGCACTGAGCCTGATGTGGGGCTCGAACCCACTAACCATGAGATCATGACCTGAGCTGAAGTCAGACGCTTAACTGATTGAACCACCCGGGCACCCTAGGAGTTTTCATGTTAATCAGTAGGTACTTTTTTAAAAAATGCATTTCCACAAAAACAGCTTTTTAAATAATTTCTTATGTTGAGAATGAAAAAACAGCACAGACAGAATAGACAATATGAAAAATACGGGTTTTTATTTTAAACTTGAGAGAGCACATGAGTGTGAGATGGGGGTGAGAGAGGAGAGAGAATCCCTAGTGGGCTCCATGCTGTCAGTGCAGAGCCCGATAATGGGTTCCTTCTCATGAACTGTGAGATGATGATCTGAGCCAAAATCAGGAGTTGGATGCTTAACTCATTGAGCCACCCAGGTGTCCCATGAACAGTTTGTTTATAACATGTTTCTGAAGAAATTTAACAGGGGAGTATAGAGCAAATATATTTAGGATTGGGTTAAAATTTGGCTAACATAAGCTAAACTCTTGCTGTTTTTTTTTCAGGAGCTTAAAAGGGCTTAGAGACTTTTTAAAGAGATGTTCTAATAGTATGTTTTTTCCTAGCCTTTTAATGATTTTTTTTTAAGTACTTCATGAATTTCTTGACCTAAAATGTCACATTCATGGGCTGAGCAGGATCTTGTACTAGAGCATAGTAATTTAGAACTTCTCATTTCTTTGTTTTTGTTTTGGATCGGAGTTTTCTTCAGGATTACATTTTATGTTTATTTTCTCTTCATTCTGCAGAGTGCCGATGCTGTAAAAAAGGCTAGAGGTTTCTTGGAATTTGTGGAGGATTTTATTCAGGTTCCTAGGAATCTTGTTGGTAGGTACTTCTATTACATGTTAAATAAGTTAAATGTTAGTGATTTAATGGAGATTTAGTCTTGTCGGATACCGTATTTTATAGTTAATGAGAGCATTTGATAGCAGTACTTTTCAGTTTTTAGTAACATTGTATGTGACTTGTATCATTATCCTGTTTAAAAAGTAAAGGTGTTTTCTTCTGTACACAGTGACTCACTAATAAGACCCATGATTTTTATAACAGTTTGTCATTAAGTTTTTAAAAAGCCGTTTAACCCCTTGCTGATTTTCCTATTCTCATTCACTTAATGTCTTTTCATCATTCATACGTCCATCAGAGTTGTAGTATTTTTTGAGAAGGTGTTTGTGATATTTTCTTTTTGGTTTGGGGCAGAAGAAAAAGTAAGAGTGGACTAACAATAGGGTAATAAACTTCTACAGAATAGGTCCTGAGTAAAGAATAAGTGGTTGTTACAAAGGCTTAGAATGAGATAAGAAGTCATGGGCAGGAGAGAAGGATGGTGATCATGATAAGGAAGTTTTTGTTATTAAGTTTCTGACACCATTAATGAAAATTATCGTACCCATAGCTTATTATGTTAGTGACAAAACTTTGAGATTTCCCCTTGCCTCCAGAATTTTGAGTTTGAAGATGTAAAGGAGCTTTAGATGTAGCTTGGGATGATTTGTTTAATCTTTGGTATTATATCCTCTACATCTGTGCTATCCTTTTTAATGTTTATTTATTTATTTTTTGAGAGAGAGACACACAGACAGATAGCGTAAGCAGGGGAGGGTCAGAGAGAGAGGGAGACACAGAGTCAGAAGCAGGCTCCAGGCTCTGAGCTAGCTGTCTGCACAGAGCCCGACGCTGGCTTAAACCCAGGAACCCTGAGATCATGACCTGAGCCGAAGTCCGACACTTAACCGACTGAGCCACCCAGGCGCCCCAGTGCTATCCTTTTTAAATGCTGTTATGTCAAATGGGGAAATTTTGCTCTTGTAGTAAATTGGGATTATCCTAAGTGTTTACTATAAAAATAAGCATGCATATAAAGCAGAGATGTTTTTTAGGAGGGGCTTGAGTTTTTGTCTACTGTTGTGTCTCATCAGTATCTTGACCTTACTGAAATAGAGCCCCTTGGGCTCCATTTATATTTAATTAGGCCTGTGTTGCCTTTAGGAAATCATTTCTTGCTATAGGTGTTCTATTTGTCAAATCTTGTTAAAAAAATAGCTGTAGAAAATATTTAAAAGTTGTTTTAGACTGGTAACAATTTCATATACTCTGGGACAGTAGTCTACAGCACAAGAACGGGCAGTTTTCTTGGTTTTCAATGATTTGTTTGCTTATAGCTCCGCTTAAGCATTTGGATAGGTATGACATACTGCTGATTAAATAAACTCCATTTTATTCACTGAAGATTGAACTGCTGGAGAGCTGAGTTGAGATGTTAAAATTCAGTATAAGCTCAAATAGTTTTGTATGACTTTAATAAACATTAAGACACAAAATATTATAAAATGTTTATCTTTGCCAAATAAAATCACCTTCAAAAAGCTGCTTTTGAATATGACCCCCTGGTTTAGGTCACAATTATTGACATCAGTACCAACACCGTGATTGCTGCTTTGCAGAACATAATTTGACTTCAGTTTCTTCACTTGTAGAAATGATTTGGAGAGGAGTGTGCATGGGAATCAGGGTTTTTTCTTTTATTATTTCTTTTATTATTTAAAAAAAAATTTTTTTTTAAATTTCTGAAAGAGAGCGAGCGTGACAGCATGAGCAGAGGAGGGTCAGAGAGAGAGAGAGAGAGAGTGGGAGATAGAGAATCTGAGGCAGGCTCCAGGCTCTGAGCTAACTGTCAGCAACACAGCCCAGCGTGGGGCTCGAGCCCACGAACTGTGAGATCATGACCTGAACCGAAGTTGGACGCTTAACCAACTGAGCCACCCAGGCGCCCCTCAGGGTTTTTCCTAACCGAATTATGTAGAAGATAGCCTTGGTCTTCTAAAATTTGTGGTAGTGGTAATTTTGAGTAAAAATTCCTGATAATTTGAAATAAGGAAATTGGATATATTTGTAGTTCTCTGATTCTTCCCTATTCATTTATCTGTGCAATGATACGAGTATGTGTTCTGTCTCCTTTTTACTCTGTCTTGGTTGGCTTCTGTGATTTGGATTATTTGGGACTCTTCAGAAAATATGTATTAGGAGCAACTGTTCTACATTAGTGAAATACTGAGAGATAGTGTAAAGATTTCTTGATTGTTGTATATAATAATGCTACATTTCCCTCCAAAATGTTTTATGGGTAAAGCAGTCATTTGAAAAATAGTACATTCTTAGTCCAAGTGAAAAAGAAAAAGTGGACTCAGGAGTAAAAGGGAATGAGGACTTCTTGGTGGGTAAGTTCAAGAGAATTCCGTTATACTCCGGTCCAAGAATTCTAGTCCCTGATCATTCCCACCCCTCCTAAGTTAAAAAGAAAATATTATGTGGTCATTGCTTTAAAATGAACTGAAACCTTTCACCTCTTGGAAGCCTTCCTTAATCACTTCTTTACTCTGTCCCTTCAGCATTTATGCTCAGTGCTCAATTTATACTACAGGTCTGCCTCACTTTGTCAATATGCTTTGGAATTTAAACTATGGAAATGATCAGTTAAAATACTGACGGTCTCTGGTGGGACTAAATAAAACTTGCAGGTAGGTCCCTGCCACAGACCCCAGAAGAGTGATGGATGTACACTCACCAGTGGTATAGTTCATAGAAGGAAGGGGCAATGATTTTGGGGGAGGGATTATGATATATCAGTCTGATTTTTGTTTTTTCGAAAAGACATTTGCTTATTTTTAGCAGGGTCAAGGATGGAGTTGCTGCTTGAGCTTCACTGGGTTAACAATGAAGGTTGCTTTTATATACTGCTGCTAGGGCTGCTCAGAGAAGATCTACGTCATGTGAATTCCCTGTCCTACTCTATTTTTTTCTTTTTACCTGTTGAATTGTCGCTGCTTTTAAATTTAGGGTTATTAATGGGGCAAGAGGTTTGAGAATAGGTATAGAAAAACCCTGTAATGGTGTCTTTGCTGTATTGACCCAGTTACTGTTGCTGTTGTTCCTATTTATTCTTTAATAGAAACTGTTCTCTCAAGCATGCAATAGGAAGAACTATTTTATCCCCTTTCAACCAGAATGAATTTATTGTGGAAATAGATTGCTTGATTTAGGGGAAAAAAAGGAGGGGGGGCAGAATTTGGACTTAATAACTTTTATAAGGAGTGTACACATCTATTTCATACAGGGAAGGTTACCTGAATATTTACTTTTGTTACCAGGTAACACGGTCCAATATTGCTTTGGTATTTTGACTTTGTAGTCTTTGTAACTAGTAAGTTTCCAAGGGGAAGAGGATCTTCCTTGCCCCTCTTTTAGTTTCTCTTTTCATTAATGGATACTCCATAAGTGCTGTTTGACACACTACATGTTAAGTGTAGAGAAGATAAATAATTTGGATTTTGTGTCTGTATACAGTATTTCATACCTAGGAAGATAGCATACCATGTACATGCTATGTGTATTTGTATAGCTGTGAAATACTTAAAAACTTGGTAGAAAATGTCAAATACAGACTTTGTTTCATTGAAGATTATATTCATTTTAAAGGTATCTTCAAATTATAGATGTATTTTGGAAAAGTAGCACCTTGAATATGAAAGCAAGATTTAATTTGTTAACTTAAAAATAATACTTAATAAACAAATTGGTATGATTAATGCCAAAATAAAAGTGTTTCTTTTGCCTTTATTTGTGTATCTAAGCTTTTGGAATGGGTTGCATTGATATTTTAAAAATATAAAAATGATGTAAAACATGTTTAGTCTTTGAAAATGTCTTACATTTGAGCAGTATTGTCAATCCTATTTATATATAGCCTTAGGCATTCTGAAGAGAAGGAAGTTTCAGACCAAGGATAAAATTTCTCAGTAGTCATCAGAGTGAATTTATTGAGATTAAGAAGATGGGGCTATGTTTTTTTTTTTTTTTTAAATTTGATACAACTCAAATTATTTGGTCTCATTTTGGAAGGATAGCAGTATTGGTATTTAACTTACTGCTATATATTTTCTCTTATTAAAGGAAAAGTAATTGGAAAAAATGGCAAAGTTATCCAGGAAATAGTGGACAAATCTGGTGTGGTTCGGGTGAGAATTGAAGGAGACAATGAAAATAAACTACCTAGAGAAGATGTAAGTATTCAAAATGTAATTTGGTTTGCCTGTTTCTTCCTTCTGTCCGTCTGTCTGTCCTGCCTTCCACCATCTTCTGTTCTTGGCTGACTTACAATGTTATTTTATATTTTGGAAATCATTTTGGGGAGTTGTATGTAGGGAACTATTCATACTCATACGGTGGCTTTGTTTAAAAATTTTTTTTGTTCCTTACAATGTTGCTTTACATATTTAGAGAACAAGTCCTCTTTAAATTGTGGGCTTTGGGTCTTACTGGGTTTCTTAGTACTTCAGTAAAAAAGCCAATTTTTGATAAAAAGCCTTCAATTTGGTAATTTCAACAGTACCTTTTTGTACTTAACAAGAGTATAGAACTATAAAATTTGATACTCTGAGAAAAGTTTTTTATAAAGGTATTCTTAATAAATAACTGTACTTGACCTTTTTTGGATCTGAAAGCCCTGATTATTTCTTAATTGAAATCTTTAAGCTTTTATTTTGGTGTTCTGACACCAACTTTCTGAAATTCCTTTTTCAATCTCATCTCACATGTTAGTGTTTTGTCTACAGTGCAGTTCTTTACTCTTCGTAAATCGCTTTAAAGATCTCTTACCTGGTGGCTCCAAGTGTCTTAAACTTCATATGCCTGTGCATATAAGGCAAAGATTTTCTCCCAAATTATCTCCTAGAAAGCAATGTTAGTTTTGCAGAATAGATTATTATTGTTTGCAGAGTTCATTAGCCTGTGGGGAAAAACAGCCTCTTCTTAAAGAAAAAGGAAAAACTGTAGTCAAATGAGTCCAGATAAATGACCTCACATCAGGTATTGGATGTTGTAAAGATGCCTACTTCCTTTATTTCTTTTAGTTAGAATGTAGAGGCAAAAATAAATAAATAAATAAATAAAATAAAAAAACAAAATCCGGAAAAAGGAATAAAGAAAAAAGAAAAACAGGTGATTTAGTATTACAGAAATGAGTAGTTGGTGGCTCAGATTGGTTTCATGCCTACACTGCTCCCAAAATTGCTTTAAATCTCAAGTGACTTACTTTTTAAGCTACTCTACCTCCCATTGCCTTTGAGAGGGGGATTAAAATCAAGGTGTCATACTATTAAATTTGTGCTTTCCTCCTTTATATTTAATGTATAAAATAATCCATTTGGCATACAACCACTGCCTAAAAATTGGTCTGAATATCAAGATGTTCACTGGTCAGGGCCATTATATTAGTCCACTGTAAATTTTTTAGCTTTATCTACTTACTTTTCTACTCTTGTCTTAGCTTGACTTAACTGCTAGTTGCTTTACAGTATTTAATGTCTCGTGGGGCACCTGGGTGGCTCAGTCGATAAATAAGCAACTCTTGATCTCAGGTTCATGAGTCCAAGCCCCATGTTGTGTGTGTCGCCTACTTAAAAAAAATAATAAAAATCTTGTTGCAGGCTAATTCTTTTAGGTCTTTATTCATAATAAGAATTTTACTGAACTTTAGTGTTTGCAGCATTGGTCATTGTTACCCTTATTTCTTTGCCAGGGTTAAGAAACTTAAATACTTACAGAAACCAAGCAGATTATTAATGATTAAGCAGGTTGGGATACAAGACCAGGGATAGGACAGTACATGGTCCATTTGTATAAAAGGAACAGATGCTGCCTTAATCTGGTTGCCATAGGTGAATGTGTTATGTGTTGCTATATCTTTTGATACTAAGAGAAGCTGGAAACCTATAATATGCAAAATTTAAAAATTTTCAAAACATTCCATGTTAAGACAAATTGAAAAAAAAAAAAAAAGACAAATTGGAAGGTTGGCATTCACTTATTTAGGGCCACCATTTCAAAATTTAAGCTAAGTCCCGTGGCAGACTGTTTATAACTTGTTTACTCTCAAGTCTTCAGTGACCCACCATTAGCCTGAGAGGACCTTTGCCCACCTTTATCATAGCACTTATTATCTGTATAATTGGGTATTTACTGGTTTTCTCTCAAACCTACATTTATTACTTAAATGAGATCTTAACCTCACCAAAGCCACTTTATGGACTCTGAATCAAGAAGTGAAATCTGAATTCTCATATTCTTTGTTCTTCTCTAGCCCAATGAATTGTATAGAGTTAGGTGCTTGATAAGTATTTTAAATCAATATTTTAAGTCAATTTTTTAAGATTGAATTCGAGGAGCACCTGGCTGGCTAGGTCAGTAGAGCATGTGACTCTTGATCGCAGGGTCCTGAGTTGAAACCCCATGTTGGGCATAGAGCCTACTAAAAAAAGGATTGGATTTGAGTTCTTCACTGAAAAAGAAATACATTTATGTACAAGTTTCAATAGTATAGAAGAGTGTATATAGTATGAAAAATGTGTATCTATGTTTTGTCTGTATCTCTCTTCTCTCCATTATCTCTATTAGATAATAGATTTTAGTCGGTTTTTGGTTGCCTTTTTGTCTTTGTTTTGCTACTAAAAGTGCCACAGTGAACATCCCTTACAGCTGGGGAGTAAATTTCTAGACTTTTAAGATCATAGGGTATAAAAGACATTAAAATTTTTAGATCTTCATAGTTTCCCACACTCCACACATTCCTTTCACCAGTGTAGGAATTGTGTCTGTTTTCCACATACCTGCGAACAGATCTTTGTTTTTTATTTTTTTTAATGTGGTCTCCAAGCTCAGTGCAGAGCCTGAGAGTCCCCTCAACTGACTGAGATACCCAGGTGCCCCTAGAGCTTTTGTGTTTTAAGGAAGCTAGTCTTTTGTCTTTTCGTATGTGTAGTAAATATTCTTAATTTCTCCTTGATACATCCCCTCGCACAAATTTTTTTATGCTGTTGGCTTCTTTTTTTTTTTTTTTTTTTTTTTAAGACTTTTGTTTTAGGACTTAAGACTTTTGACTCTGCCATACTTGGCAAGGTCTTTCCTACATGTAGGTAATTCAGAAATTCACTTGTATTTCATTCTCTAGGTTTTTTAAAAGTACATAAACTTTTCACTCCAGTGTGTGTGTGTAAGAGGGATCCTGGTTTATTTTTCACAAGTGCTAGTTGGTAGTCTCAGTGCTATCTATTAAATATAAGTGATTAGTTATTAGTATTTTTAAAAAATCTAGAAATTTCATTGAAATAACTTAGAAATCTGTATATTCACTAATAATCGTTTACTCTTCAGATTTTTTATTGTGGCTTTATAGTAGTCATTAAAATATTCTGTACTATATGTGCCTTTAAGGTTGTGTTTCTGCCTGTCCTTCGGAAGTAGCTACAGGTGAGAGCATCTCATCTTCAGGGTCAAGGCATTGTATTTCTCCTAGTTTCTTCCACATCATCTTTCTGGAATGACTTTCTCTTCTTTACCTACTTGGTAAAATTCTATTTGTTTTTAACATTTACTTTAAAAATCTTAGGAATTCGCCAAAGTTTCCATATCTGGGGTGGCATAGTCCACATTCTACGTAATATTCTTGTGTTTTTTAGATTGATATTACTAATGCTATAATAAGATTATTGCAGACATGTTTAGTGTCTTTTCTGAGATTTTGATTGCTTTTAGAATAGGGACTTTGTTTTATCCATTTTGCTTAGTGTAGATTCTGGCAAGTAACCTGTAGTTGCTATTTGGAGTTAGGTAACTAGAAATGAAATTGGCTGGCTGATTTGCTAATTGTATGACTTTGGGCAAATTGCTTGCTCAGCTGTTAAAGTGGACTTTTTTAAAAAATTGGATTATTTAAGGTTACTTTTTAGTGAATATTAAATAAGATACAGATGTAGAATAAATAATATACTCCCAGAAGTAGAGTATTTGCTTAAAATGTTTAGATCTTTATCCCCCCTCCTATATCTTTTATTCACTTTGCATCCTCTCATATCTGCTTGTGAATTCCAGAGGACAGGATCAAGATTTCTGTACATCCTATGCTTAAGTTATATTCCCTTTTTTCATGCCATCTTAAGCCAATCTGTTTAAGTAACTGTTAGGAACTAATTTGTAGAATCAAAATAAGGAAAGACACTAAAACTGGTTGGGTGAGTTTGTTTATTTAGGCTTTATTCATTTTCCTTAGCCATTAGGAAACTGGAAATCTACTACTTCATAAATTCAGAGTTAGTCCTATGATTTCCTTTAATATTGGTGACTAAATATTTGCCTTTATCAGTAATTGCTTTATTTTATATTGTGTAAATGTTTGTATTCCATAGGTGACTCTTGGTAGTGTTGGTCAGGAAGCACTCCCTCCAGTACACAGACATTAATGGTTTTGTTAGGTGCACTTGTTAGGGATAACCTAGCTGATGATGTGCTCTACCATTTTAAAGCTATCACCACCAAGGTGATTGATATATCTAGTTTATAAATTCATGCCAGTTGAAGGGAAATTTCTTTAAAAGGTGTATATGGAGGAAGATTGAATTAGAAATTAGAAAATCTGATATAAGCTGGTATTTAAAAATAATTTAAATTTTTAACATACTTAAATTATAGGGCAAATACAATGAGTTATTGAAAACCTTAGTATTTCAAATTATATTAAATTTTTGGTTAGTTTGTTTATAAATCTTTTTTCAAACTTTATTCCCAGGCTTCTTCAGCTTAATTAGGTGCAAAGAATAAATTGTGTATAAGCAAAAACTGAAAAGAGCTGCAGTGTCCAAGGGGCTTGGGCTTAAAAATAGAGATCTAGATTTTATCAGATCCAGGAACAGAATTTTTAAAAAGCAGTCATAATATAAATAGTAGCTCCCAGTAACTTCTTCCAAATTTTATCTTCTTCAGAAGTTATTTCAATTTGCTTCATTCTTGGAAGCTTCCTCAAAGTTCTCCACAAGATTTGGAACTTGATTATCATCCTTCTCTCCGGTAGCAAGTGGTGTCTTTTCATCCACAGATTGTTTGGGCAGAGCTTTGCCTAATCTTCTTAAGCTAGTCAGACTGTCTGTACCAAGTTGGTTGAAGATACTGGGTAGCATTTCTGTCAGCTGCTTTGTATCAGCATGACCTATAATGGTGAAAGTCTTCACTGCCAGGGATGCCTGAAGTTCAGGGTTGTTAAAGTGGATCACTGTACCTTGGTTTGTGAACATGTTCACTTCTCCAATACGAGAGATCTCGTTTACCCTTAACTTCTTTAAGGAAAACTGAAGTTTTGTATCATTTTCTGTAGCTGTTCTGTGAACCACCTCTTCTTTCACTGAGCAGTTCCTTTCCCACCAATGTTCACTTGTGCTTGCAGTTTGACGAGTTTCTCTTGATTCATGATAGTTTCTTTCATCTTGTTGGAACGGAAATGGGACTCTTCTGGGGACTAGGGTTGGCACTTGGGGTCTCCAGTGGAGAGCTGAGAGGAGGTGCATACACGCTGGAATGCAAGATGTAGCATTTTATTTTTAAATCTAGAATTGTCGTAGATTAAAATTGCTGTTTTAGAAAAAATTTTCCAAATTCTGTATTGGTATGTCACATTTATGTTAGAACTTTGTTAAAATATTTGATACTGAAGATGTTGTGTTTTCTTACAGGGTATGGTTCCATTTGTATTTGTTGGCACTAAAGAAAGCATCGGTAATGTGCAAGTTCTTTTGGAGTATCATATTGCTTATCTAAAGGTTTGTATGCCTTTCATATTCATGTCATTTTTGCTTCACATAGTAAACTTCAAATTGCATCAGTTTTATATACATATTAAATTTCAGTTCTTTAAATATTTTTCTACATGAGAATTTAAAAGGTCCTTTGCCATAATAAAATCATTGATTGGCTTTATGCACGTTGTTTCTCTTTTTCTCTGAACTGCTACTTTTTTTTCCTTACTCTTTAAGAAATGATCATGCTTGTTTTCCTATAATGTGACTGTCATCACTTCATGTATCGACATGTGCTATACTGGAACCATTTTATTTTACCTTGATGTTTTAGATGCAAATAGGGCAGAGAACCAGGAGTGAAGGTGTGTTTTCATGGTAACTTTAGTATTCTCTGAATCAGATGCACTAATCCGTAGACCTCATTTGATAAGAATCTTAACTATTGTTTCTGAAATAATCTATTTGAGTTAATAAATAATGAGCAAGAGTTTTAGAAAGATTCCCCATAAGTTATTAAAAGTTTCAATTGTTAGTTTTTACTTTATCTTTTGTTACTAAGTTTATCTCTTGTTAAAACTTCAACAGCTCTGTCTCTAGTAGGTTTTTCTTTTAGTCACTCCTATCATTGCTGCTATGTTAATATTTTTTTGAAAGCACACCTGATGTCATTCTTTTAATTAAAACTCTTTAGAAATCTCAGTTCAGTCTGGCATTTTAAGCTCATGCTTTATCTTCTAGTACTCTACTACCTTTTAGCCATGAGCTTTGTCAAGTTACCTTACTTTCACATCTTGTAATGATCTTAGTTTCTGAATGATCAAGTCTCCTAGTACCTCTAGGTTACAACTCAGTCTCACGGTTTTGATGGAAAAGTAGGTTAATAGTTTCTTTTCTACATGGCATCTGTATCTAATTAGAGTTTTAATTTCTTGAGAGTAAATCTGGTAATATTGTGTAATTATTAGCTATTTAACAATTTATTATTTCATTCATTTAAACATACATACATTACATACAGGAACTAAAACCCACAGTGAGAATACTTCCCTAGCATAAGAAACATTTACTCTACCTGTAAGTACCAATAAATAGTTTAATGCCTGCCTATCAAACATACCCTTGAAGATGGAGAGTCCTAGTCTTTTTTAATATTGTATGCCTGTAACACTTAGCAGAGTTGGTGCTCAGTAAGGTATTTAATAAGTGTTTAATGAATTGAGTCAGCAATTGACCTTGTGAATTGTATTTACTAAGTACACATTTGTATTTTATCGAATAGTTGACTGAGATCATTACTTCTTTGATTGGTAGGGAGTAGTATAGCTTCAGCTGTAGGTTTTAAGAAGGTAAAAATAGTACAACATAGAAGAATATTTACCTTTTTTGTTTTACTTCTAGGAAGTAGAACAACTAAGAATGGAACGCCTACAGATTGATGAACAGCTACGACAGATTGGTATGGGTTTCAGACCTTCTTCCACCAGAGGGCCTGAAAAAGAAAAAGGATATGCCACTGATGAAAGTACCGTCTCTTCTGTACAAGGTTCTAGGTCTTATAGTGGAAGAGGCAGAGGTCGTCGGGGCCCTAATTACACCTCCGGTTATGGTAAAAAAACAATTTTTTTTTGTTGCTGTTGTTAGTAGTTCTTGATTAGGTGCTCCGAAACTTCTTGCTTAATGTTTTGATTTAGTTAGTTCTTCACTCTGTTTTGGCTTTGAGGGCAGGAGATAATTTCAAGCTATATGTCTTTATAGTAGTGAAGGTATACTTTATAAAAGGTATATGGCGTTCAAGGAGCTAATGAGATCAAACATTTTTGTTAAGTTGGCAGTTCATGATCATGTTTAAATATTTAAATATATGTGGAATTTCTATACACATATTTGTATATAGTATGTGTACATATCAAAACCTAATGATGATGATGCTGCTAGGAATCATCTTTTGCCTACCCTCTAGGAAAAATAAAACTTAAATAATATGCTACTCAGTGTGCCAAGGTTGCATATAGCACTTCTGTACCAGTTTTAAAAAATATACTTATAGACTCAGTTGGCAGTTTTGAATATAATCTCACATCTGCAATTATTTTGTGAAAGAACATTTCACTAAAATGAGGGCTTTTTAAGAAGCCAGAACCAAATTAACACTTTATAGACGAACATTTTTCTAAAATGTATTTCAGTGTGAGGATGGGGCCCTAACCTATGTGTGAAGGGGCCAGTGGATGGTGGTGGTCAACAGTTTTCTAATCCTAAATTTTCACTTATTTTTCTTCAGCTTTGGAGTTGTTCCATTTTTCTGCATTTGGACTTGGATCTTAGCAGTGACCTGATTTGTCTTCCCTTGTTTTCTTCCCTTTCTCTTTTCCTTTTCTCTCCATTCCTCTGCTCATCCTAACTGACTGCTTTAGGAAAACATTTCATAAGCTTTTTCCAAAATAGAAGGCATTTAGGGAAAGTTGAAATCCAGAAAAGCTTACAGTATGCAGATTCCATGTACGATTTCCTGTTTGAAGACTGTCTCATTAAATAATGCCAGCATTATATTAAAATTTGTACTTTGATTTGTTGTAGAGTTGAAAGGTTAATTATCCCTTCCCTTTCATATATTTCCATGTTCTCATTTCTTGATAATTTTTAATTATTTAAAGTACATTCTGTATTGAAAGTTGAAAAGCAGAATTCCAGGAACTTGTTTAGCATGTGAAGAGATGAGAATTGTGAAGTACTGCTGTATTCCTAAAAACACATTTAATACAGAAAACAAATAATAATTAAAGAGAAAAGTGTATTGAATAATTCTAGAGGCACAAATTACTAGTACAGATGATCAGATTTGTGTTTTTTTGGATGATGAGGATGAATTCATTGAATACTTTTATAAGCCTTTGGGAAATCTGTTTACTGAGGCTAGCCTTTTGCAAAATACCTTTGTTGGGAGTAGATAATTTTTTATGATTAGATAATCAGTTTTTATGAATGGTAGAGGAATATCCTCTGGATTCAAGAAAGTTATGCAAGTTGTTCAGTAGATGGCACTCTTATCTCTGAAACTTTGCAGGCCAGTAGTATCATTGCTTTTGTTGACATAGCTATTGGATTTTAGTGGGCTTGAGAGAAAACCATTTGGATTTGGTTATAGATGTTTTCTTGTTTACTTAACATCAGGATTTTTAAGTCACATAACTTAGCATTTTCTCGTACCTCTGAAGTTGGTATGCACCTTAGAATGGATGTTTTAAAACTGCAATCGGCAACATTTTCTTTTTTAACGGTATACAAAATATGTCTTAAAATGTATGGATGGGGGCGCCTGGGTGGCTTAGTCGGTTGCGCGTCCGACTTTCGCTTAGGTCATGATCTCGCGGTTGTGGGTTCGAGCCCCGCGTCGGGCTCTGTGCTGACTGCCAGCTCAGAGCCTGGAGCCTGTTTCGGTCTGTGACTCCCTCTCTCTCTGACCCTCCCCTGCTCACGCTGTCTCTCTCTCTCTCTCCTAGAAATAAATAAAACATAAAAAAAAAAAAAATATATGGATGGCATATTGGAATTGATAAAATATGGTACTTTTGCTATTAAGTAAAGCATTCATGATTGTTGAAAAGATGTGAAGCATCTTCATAAGTGCTTTTTAGAAGTTTTGGAGAGGGGAAAATCTGATTTAAAGTTTTTGAAGATAAGGTCTTATTTGGAGTCATTAAAAATTGAATTAGTTTGATGAATCATTTTTAAAGCTCAATGAAAAATTTTTTTTGGATTCATGAACTTAACATTTTACAAAACTAAAGGTTGCAGTGATTTCAACACAGTGTTTTCTCTTGATGCTTTAACACATTTCAAATTAAAAGGGTTAACACTGATGAGTATTATTATCTTAAGAGATTTTTAGGTCAGAAGTTAAACATGAGTCTCAGTGGACTAAAATTGTCAGCAGAACTCTATGTCCTTTCTTGAGACTCTAGGATGCAGTCTGTTCCCTTGATATTTCCAGCTTTTGGCCCCTTCATTGTCTGTCTCATGGAGCCAGTGACTGCAGAGTTCTGCTGCTTTCTCTCTGGTTCTCTGCAGCTGAGATCGACACGGTTAGTTTGGGCTCACCAGGGCAATCCACAGTGATCTACCCACCTCAATATCCTTAACGTTATCACATCTGGAAAGTTCCTTTTGCCATCCCAGAAACATTTAAGCTTTATTTACTAAGAATAAAGCAAAAGCTAGCCAATTCATTAGTCATTTTGTTTTTGACTTTACTATTGGTCTTACCTACTGACCACCCCTTTTGAATACTAGATTTAGGTTAAACTTTAATAGGAATTTCCATGCTTGTGACACTGAGTTAAATACACTTGTTTAACTAATAATTTATTTGTAGAGAAAATTTAATAGGGACTTTTGTAAAAATTTTAAAATTGAGATTATTTATCTTCATATTTTGATAATGTTTTTAGGCAGTGCATAGCTTTGTCAGTAAGTTCAAGTGCATTTGAAAAGATGTTTTCACAACTCATGAAATGATTAGTTTCCCTTATTCCAGCAAACCATGACATCAGTTAATAAATTCTTTTTTGTCATTTGGAGATACAAGTGTTTGGGAGAGTCATTCTTTTTTGTGAGATTCTCATTCCTAGTAAACAGTTGAGTATAAATACTAGAAACTTGCTGTATTTTTCTAAAAGTTTCAACTGATTAATACACTCTTACATAGTTGACTGGTTACATCCATATTTAAGATCATGTGGAGAAAAAATGAATTTTGAAGAATTTTCTTTTAAGGGAGAAAGGAAGTTGGATTTCTTAAATTTTATTACGGACACCCTACTATTGTGCATATGAAGGATTCTTATGTTTCACCTTCACCATCAAATGACTGGGGTTTAACTGTAGGGAACTTGTAGTTTATCATGGAATTATTCTTATTTGGGAGATCAGCAAAAGAACTTCAAAGTCATGCAGCAGATTGCTTTATTAAGAGAATTGTTAGGTGTCTGGGGGCATTTAGAGGTAGAAGGAAGAGCTCTACCATAGACCAAGTGAGATGTAAATCCAAAGGGAATTAAATAGAAGACAACACATGACAGCATTGCATGATAGATACATGTTACTTTTAAGGAAGTAGGAAGGGAGGAGTCTGTTTTCAGTTAAATTGGTCTGAAACTCCAAATTGAACTGGGCTCTCAAGGAGATCTTATTTGGATATATGATATAAAAGGGAGGGATGGAAGAGGCATTCCCAGAATTAACAAAGAATAGAAGTAGAAATGAGTATTGTAGTGATTGAGTCATCTAAATCTGACACTTTAATTGTGATGTAATAATAATATTGCAGGCTTTTATAGAATCTTTGCAATGTTTAAATTTTTAAAAGGTCACTATTAAAATAGGTCGTTGGAACCTTAGAAATGATCTGTAAACTTTTAATCATAGTAAATTTTTCTGTCAGGTTAAAGTTGTCTTTTCAGTAACATTTTTAAAATTTGTTCTGTAATTTCAAATAGTATATTCTAATTTAAGCCACTGTTTGTAAAATGTAATTGTTTTATGTACAACCACTAAAGATACACTCACAGTTTATAAGAGACTATCAATTATGAGAAACATTGTTATTTCAGAGATGTTAAAGTGTGAAATAGTGTGCTTCCTAGAATCAGTAAAATAATGGTAGAATACATCATACAATCAAACTACTCATTTTTCTGAATATGATTGTTTGCTTTAAAATATAATAGCGGTTATTTTCATTATACTAATTTGGTTTTAAAACCTACAAATGGGCAAATTTTTTTTTTTTTTACTAGTCCCTGATATTAACTGCATTTGCATTATCTATGTAGTGTTTTGTGTGTTTGCTCTAATGCTATTATTGGCTGCATTTTTGCACATCTAAACCAGTTTTTAATCTCCCTCTTAGTAGATCCTATATTACTGGTATAATACTAACATTTGATTATTACTTAGTAGATTTCACATTTATTTTAATTTTTGTTTAGCTTCCTTTGAATCAACCAATTAATAGGGTGATTAAAATAATTATAGGAAATAATTTTGGAAAGTTTCACTCCTTATTTTCCCTTTTTAAAGAAAACAGGAATCTAATTGGCTTATGTTCTCTTTCCCAAGGTACAAACTCTGAGCTGTCTAACCCCTCTGAAACAGAATCTGAGCGTAAGGATGAGCTGAGTGATTGGTCATTGGCAGGAGAAGATGATCGAGAGAGCCGACATCAGCGTGACAGCAGGAGGCGTCCAGGAGGAAGAGGGAGAAGTGTTTCAGGGGGTCGAGGTCGTGGTGGACCACGTGGTGGCAAATCCTCCATCAGTTCTGGTAGTCTTTTATGTACTATGTCAGCATCCTTATTTCGTGAACAGTATATAACCTTATACAAGTTAATTCATTCTCCCAGTGTCTTCTCACTGAGGAACGTAGTAGAGCATATGATAAGGAGAAACCCTGGACAGTGTTTCTTAATGAAGGTTTAGCTAGAATTTTTCAGTCAGAAATTTTGGTTGGCTGATTCTGTTTCAGCGGTCAAAGATTTCTCTAGTTTTTTGGGCCTCACGTAATTCGAATGTTTTTTCCCCTAGAATTTTTGGGTTCTAAATTTCTGTTTGTCAGACAGACAGAAAATTCTAATGCAGAGAGAGATCTAAGTAACAATACTGAATATACTTACTATTGAAATTTAAATGGGAAGACATTTTGTTGCACTGTGTACTATTTTGGGAACAGGGAAGAATTGAGAAATTAAAAATTTTTTGTGTTTGAGGAATTGAGCTGTAAAGAAGGCTGTTTAGAAGACTGAGAACTGAGGTGCCTGAGCAGCGTTTTACTCCAATATCTTTTTTTTGGGTAGGAGTTGCGGGAATGTTTATGCTTTTAGCATAATGGGATGGGGGACAGAATTATCAGTGATATGTGGAATAGATTATGTCATAGATACAGCCTTAACATATCTTTATTGTATCCCACTGTAAGAAAACCACTGTTTTCTTAATGTTATAACATATGGCTTGTGAAAGTTTATATGTTATTTTAAATGTTATAGAACCCATACATATATATAACTAAATATATACCAGACTTGCTTACAAAGTACTAAAACTGGAACAAATCACACAATTTTAGGAGCTTTTTAAAAGGTACTCCAGTTCCAGTGATACTCTTTGAGCCCCAAGTTTATTTTATAGGCTTTTAGGGAAATACTTTTATATTTTACTACTTTGCTCACTATTACCAAGGTTTATAAAATTGTAGTATGTGGCATTGCACAACAAATGTACTTTACCTAGTGCTTTTGATTAATGGATAAACTTAGTGTCTTTTACAAAGATGCTAGCTTGCTAGCTGTTACAGAAACTTAGGAAAAATCGTGATTAGGTGAATTTCTTCTATAATTTGGTGGAGGCAATAAATGCACATAGGTAAGATGGGTATTTTTTTCCTTATGAATTGTATCTTAAAACTTTCCCTTTCTCACCCTTACCCCACCTTACCTCACCTTCACTCTTTGTTTCTGGAGATGGGAATACTAGTCAACATTCATTTCTATATTTTCCTAACAAGTCAAAATTTGAACCTTTTTTTAGTTTGCTTTTTTGTATAGATTTGTTTTGATTGCTTCGGTTTAGTAACATTTCTAGTATGCCATGGAGTGCAGGTGTTGTGAATTGAGTATAGTGCATTAACATTAGTACAAAGAAGCAGCTAAAGGGGACAAAACTGCATATTTATTTCTCTTCACTTTTCATTTCTCTAGCCTAGGCAGGACTAGCTAAGGATGTGAATGTCAAAAATAGCAAGTAATAATATACTATTTTCTAATAGATTTTCAAAACAGGTCAAAGAGAAATGGTAGGAAGATGAGGGTGTTTGCTCTTCTTCTTCTTTAATTTTTCATGGCCATTTAAAGTTCTTCATATTATTTTCCAAGAAAAATAGTCATACAGGAAACATTTTATTTGAATATGGAATATAGGGGGAGAATTGTAGATCAATATAGATCAAAGCATTCCTAATGACTGCAGCTCTCTTAAACAAATATTTCTTGCCTCTGACATGCATATAGTGCTCAAAGATCCAGACAGCAATCCATACAGCTTACTTGATAATACAGAATCTGATCAGACTGCAGACACTGATGCCAGCGAATCTCATCACAGTACTAACCGTCGTAGGCGGTCTCGTAGACGAAGGACTGATGAAGATGCTGTTCTGATGGATGGGATGACTGAATCTGATACAGCTTCAGTTAACGAAAATGGGCTAGGTATGTAAGCACTTAGGGAAAAGATTATTATTGTATAGTATTGTTAATGTATGATGCTTTTTTGAAAACAAAACAAAACCCAAACTTAATGCAGTTTGCATATTGAAGTTTTCTTAGTGTTTACTTCAACAAGTTCAAACAAGGTAGATAGCTTTGTGTCTGAAATTTCTGGTTTTAAGATTTGGATAGCCAAATTATTTGAAACTGGAAGGGTTTATTAAAGTGCCCTTTGATGCCATTAAATCTATATCAAACTGCAAGGCATTTAATACTCTTATTGTTCATAAACCAAAATGAGGCTTTCAGCTTCTTTAAAAATTATTATAATGACATTAGTGAAAGTATGTATATTGAGTAGGCATTTACTTTCAAAGGGCTAAAATGTTATTAACTTTGCTAAAAACTAAATTGTATTAGAAAGGAAGACTTTATTCTTAAATGATGGTTATTTAAATTAAGTCTTTCAGTTTGTTCAATTAAGAGTTAAAACCCTCTTGGTTTCCAGATGGTGATTCTATATTTAATCTATTTGAAATGCTTAACACTACAAGATTATTTTCCTATCAATAATGTATGTTGTTTTATCTTCCCTGTTTAATTAAAAGGTTCTTTCTCTTTCACCTTTCTTAAATCTTTGAAGGAAAGAAGTTTTTTTTATTTTATTTTTTTGTTTTTTTGTTTTTTTGTCAGAATAGTTCATGGTAAACTTTGCAATTACAGATGATAGTGAAAAAAAACCCCAGCGACGCAATCGTAGCCGCAGGCGTCGTTTCAGGGGTCAGGCAGAAGATAGACAGCCAGGTAACTTTTGAGTGGACCTGTTGACAACACCAGGTCACAAGCATGAAAAAAATGTCATTTGTCTGCTTTCTAAATATATTATACTTACATGTACACATGTGTGCATATACATTCAAGATGTGCATTGCATAAGTTGTTTACTCAACTAACAAGACTACTGCTCCTACGAAAATGCATTCTTCCTTCACTCCGTAAATGTTTAGTAACGTGTCTAATTGAACTAATGTTGTGTCTTAATTTTTTTTACATGGAAATACTGTTGAGAAGACCATTATTTTGTCCACTTGGCAGATTCTTCATACTTGAGTTGGGGCCTGCCATCCCAGGGACTATGTTGTAGATTGTGGTTGAGGTTGATTGGCAAAACTGGGCAACTTTTGCATATTGCTGCTCACTATATCTGGATTTAGCACCTCATTTTTGTGGGAATTGTAAATACCCACAGTAAAAAAAAAAAAGTATAAATGAGAAAAATACTTGAAAAGTGTCTTTTTTCTAATAAGAGGAATGCATGTTATGTTTTGTTTGTTTATTGTAGTGTGATGCCTTTTCCCTTACACCTACTAACTATTCAAATTAATAGTACTTAGTTTTAGAATGTTAATTTATTTTATGTAGACATAATGTTGAGTAACTTCAAAGAAATTTTTTTGCTGTGTCTATTATTTTGAACATAATTCCATTTCCTGTGTACAGAGAATCACGTGTATATTCACAATGAAGAAATTGTGTGCACCAAAAATAAACCCCTTTTGAACTAATCATTTTCTGCATTCTTTACAAAGCAAAATTTTGGATGTGTTTTCCCCAAATAAAGATTATAAATTCAAGTATCTTTAATATTTTAGGTTTAGTGGTTGCAGAGACATTTGGGAAAACTGGTTAAAGGTGTTAGTTTCTATTCTTAAAGAAAAGTCCATGTTTTAAAGGTAGTTGTAAATTTAAAAGGAATTAAATAGTTAAAAATAGAAAGTTTCCACAAAATGTTTTTTATTGTTTTTGCTTTTCTTCCTTCTCTCTGTAGTGTTAGAAATATTCTTTAGATTAAGAGATCATTATTTATTTTGTTTTTTTAAAGTTGGCACAGTGGTGAATACAGTGCTTTCTGGCCACAGTTTATAAATAAGAAAATTTAAGCCACATTGTGGGTTTAACATGTAACACAATTTTTTAACTAGATGGATGGTGGTTTATTACTAAGTCATTGGGCATAAAAAAACATAGTGACTAGGCTTTAAAGAAGAGGCAGATTTTTCTGCATGGTTTTAATTAAAAATTGAGTAATTAGGGGTGTCCAGAATTTGATGATTTGTGTTCCATAGTGCATTTATTACTATTTTACTCTGTTCTTTGGATTGCCACTTTTCCTAGAAATCCTTGTTTACTTAGCCTGCCTTACCTGCTCCTTCTACAAAAAACTTTTAACATCCCCCCCCCCCCCCCCCCACGTGTTCCCCCAAGATAGGATCTTTGGAACAGGCACATCATTTTCTCCTGCCCCTGTCAGTACTTCTAGGAAAGTAGCCTCCTAAAATATCAACATTCCCTTATGTATACAATAATTTAATTCTCATTTGTTAAAGATTTCTTGTCTTTAGTATCAATTAAGCAGTAAATATTCTTGCTAAGAATGTGATTTTAACCCTTGTGTCAAGTTTGTTTACTTAGACCCACTTAGGAAATTCTACAGTCCAAATTATGCTGCACAAAGTACCTGTAGTTTTTCCTATATTTATTAATCTTCATTGACCTTTTAAGGGGCTAGTATTGTAAGGACTGGCTATAAATAGGTTTTGAGTCCATTAAGGTTGTTTTTAGTTGTACCTCCCATTATGGGGGAAGGGCACTGGTAAGTTTTTACCTTTCCAGCTCAGTGCCTCTTTAGTTGATAGTCATGTCAAAGTATATTATTTTTTGTGTGTACATAGTGGATGAAGGGTTCTAAGAATTGTCACATACTCAAATTTAGCAATATGTCTGTCTGTGCGGCAGGGTTTCCCAGTAGCTGAGTGCTTTCAGGTGTCACTGAGGTTTGAACTATGGAAACAGAATGAATTCATGAAGGTGTTATACAAACTAGAATCGTTCCTAGAATGTTTTTGCCACCATGTATGTATACATAATAATGAAATGGATTTGATAGTATTCCTCTTCTTAATTGTGGAAGCTATTACAAACTTCTTATAAAGTAACAGTGGATTTAAATGATTTTAAAAATTTCAAAATGAGCACTGAGTTTTTTGCAATTTGGAAGACGAGGCAGTTTTAGACAGTAAACATCTTTAGTGCTGTTTTTAATAAATGAATTGCATTCTGAATTAAGTGTTTTTTTTTGAGATTTAAAAAGATGAATAGTTTCAGAAAGTTGTTGGATCTTATAAAAGTTCGGTTAATTCGTGATCACAAAAAATTGCATTGTAAATACCATCCAGCTTCTTATTTTATCAAAATGGTTTATTTTTATATAATTTGAACCTGATGGACTATTTCTCCCCTAGTGACTTTAAATAAATAATTTAAAATTTACTTGAAGTTTCCATTCTTTACATTAACCTGCTCTCATCTCGTAATTCAAAATACTTTTTATTTCACATAATCAGAGATTTTCTTCACCAGTTTCTGGGAGAAAAGAATTCTTTGAAAGAGAGCGATTATTTTGATATTTCTTCACATCAGTAAATTCTAAGCTGTAAGTCCTAAATAGAGAAAGGATTGAGGTGTAAAGTCAGGCCAGAGTACCTGTAGAATAGAGATCATTTTTTGTACTTGGGTTGGCAGAAGGGTGTTAGCTTGTGTTAAGTCTTTTTCTTATAGTCAAGTCACTGTTGCCATCCACTTCTTGTAAACATGCATACACTTCAGTTAGTCCTTTGAAAGATTATCAGAGCTTGAGGGCATGGTTACAGAATTAATGGTGGCCCTTTTCCCACCAGGATCATTGTCCACATTTTTAGGGTGGTATTCTGCCATCTTTAGTTTGCTTGTAGTTTTTTATTTTAGATCACTCACAATGGTTTCTAGTGTGAAATGTTACAAAAAAGAACTGTAAAGTACCACACTTGGATATCTTGTACTTAAAAAAACAAAAACTAATATTTGAATACATCTTTTTTATCTCTGGTGAAGTACAACACACCATAATTTGCGCCAAATATGCCCTTTTTTTCCCCACTGAGAATTGCAAACACTGGGCTTAGAATGCTGCATTTCCTATATTTGGTTGTGGATTTCTGTATCAAACTTAATCCCAACCGTAGAGTCAGCCAGAAGCAATGGCTGGATTCTTAGGAAAGCTGACTTAAATCTAGGCTTCCTTGATCTCCAGCTTGGAATTTTCTATTGTCAGCACTCACAGGCACATTTTTCAAGCTTTGTTTTTGGTTGGAGGTGGTACCCAGCTTAAAATTTTGAAATTGGGTTACCCACCATCAGTTTATTTAAAAGTAAAATTACTCTTTATCCATAAATAAACTTTAGAAATATTTTTCAACACCTGTAATTTTTTTCTCATCTTCAACAGTCACAGTTGCAGATTATATTTCTAGAGCTGAGTCTCAGAGCAGACAAAGAAACATCCCAAGGGAAACTTTGGCTAAAAACAAGAAAGAAATGGTAAGGAGAATTTAACCTGTAGGTTTTGTTGGTTTTGGTTTGGTTTTTGTTTTTGTTTTTATTTTTTATTATTATTTTTTGGTATGGTTTAGCTTTATGTTTACTTATCTTACTGTATGATCACTTGTTTCCCCAACTAGACAAATACTATTTTAAAGACTACTCTTGATTTTGTTCTTGGCCCGAGGTAACTGAAGAATGCATGCTTGAGCCTGGAATACTTTTCATTTAGAATTCCAAATAGCATTTGTAAAATTCAGTCTATCCAAAGTTATTGGGCATAGAGAATATTGGCTTAATTTGGGGAGCAATAGGCTATATATATATATATATTTATATACACCTCTTCTCAGTGATAGATATAGACTGCTTTTAAGTGTCAAGTCTTTTAAATGCTTTAATGGATTTGAAATGTAAATGTGAGTTTCCAAAAAAAAGGTGAGTAAATAGACATTTATTTGCTTAGAGTATTAACTTTATATCTTTTTACATGGTGAGTTTTCCAGTGGTTAAAAGTAAATTAGGTTCAAGTTTTAAAAACAGGTAGAGATTCTTCCTGTGGTTAAGCACTGTTAGGTACTAGAGATAGAGTTCAAAGACCAGTAGAGGTGGAATACATTGGTGTATGCTTTGAAATTTTAAGAACATTTTAATTCTTTGATCCAATGTGGTATATGAAACTGAAATGATTTATTAGCTAATTTATGTTTATATAGCTGTTTTCCTCCTCAGCTGTAGATTTCATTTATAAAGAAGTTGAAAAAGTTGTCTCCCTTTGGCAGGCAAAAGATGTGATTGAAGAGCATGGTCCTTCAGAAAAGGCAATAAATGGCCCAACTAGTGCTTCTGGCGATGAAATTTCTAAGCTACAGCGTACTCAAGGAGAAGAAAAGATTAATACCTTAAAAGAAGAAAACACTCAAGAAGCAGCAGTCCTGAATGGTGTTTCATAAACTGAAGAAGTTCCTAGTTTACAGTTCTTTTACATTACATTTTACAATAGTGCTTGTACAAGCTTGCCAAAGATAGAATATGGATCGCCAGTCTTTACATCGCACTTTCAGTTCCTCCATTTGGAATTCAGAAAGGGGAGGGATCCTGAAGAAATCATATGTTAAACATACTTTGACACCTACTGTGTTATAAAATATATCATCAGATGTGCCTTGAGAATAGTATATGTAACATTAAAAAAAGTTGCTGGCTATAGGAAATGTTATTTTGTTTTCAAAATATGGCAGAGATGGGGGGGGGGAGGTGGGTGGGGTGGGATCCCTAACGTAATATTCTTTATGAAAGCATTAGCTGCTTTTGTTACATTTTTAATAATATGCAACCACTTCTTCACCTGAGGAAAACTAGAATGAAATGCAGTCTAAAATATTTTGCACTGAATTGTAATTCTTCATTAGTTTAGTCTGGAAACTGGTCTGTTTTAATGTGTTTTTTTAAATGCTGTATGTAGAGGAAAATCTGCAGACCACTGGAATACATTTGTTAAACTCTCATCTGCAGGGACACTGGGTGATATTGGCAGTGACTGTTCTACATTGAGGCTTTGTTTGGTTTATTTATTAAAGTGTACAGTATTTAAAAATCAAACATAGCTTTAGTTAAAACACTAAGCTGAATTAGTCATGTCCATTTCAGACATAACCTGAACTACTGACAAGATCAATTTCCAGGAGGTTTATTCTGTATAAAAGTACATGTTAGTCTTCAGTAAGAGTATCTTTTCCTTTTTCTTTTTTTTTTTTTCTTTTTTTTTTTTGATTTTGGTTGTTTGATGTGCAATATGTTTTTGTATGCAGGTAGTAAATAAACTTTGATCTTCCATTTGCTGATTTTTAACTTTCTACTTTTTATACCAGTATACTTTTTATAGCAAAGTAGTTGGAGCTAGTAATAGGCCTAAAATAGTTACCCTAATTGCTTTTAAAAAAGCATTACTTGCTTCATAAACAGGATTAAAATATTAATTGGTCAGTTAATCATTTTATAATGAAACCTCTAAAACCTTAAAATTTAGTCTGTTAGAATAGATTGGTTTAGGGAATTGATCATACATTCAATATTAGGAAAGTCTTCATAACTACTCAAAGGCAACTTTTGGAAGGCAGTGGGATAAAATCCAGAATTTGGCCTTTGATAATTATTTTTATAAATAAGTATGGTGGGCAGTTTTTAAATAAGAAATAGTCCATTAACTTGGTTTTTGGTTCTTAAGGAAGTAATTTTGAAGATTGTCAAACTAATGATTGTATTTTTTGTATATAAGTCAACTTAATTTTAGGAAGATGAAAACTTCACACACAGTGTTTCAAAGAGTAACAATGATATAATTATGCAGGTAATTGTGAGGTCATATCAGATAATTGTGGATTTACTGGAGAATTTTTTTCCATAGTGATATATACAGACCACTGAACCAAGAAAGACGGCCTTTTCTGTCATTTGATGTTTGAAAAGTGTTTTTTATGTGCATAATCTGTGTTAATTTGTTATGTGCATAAAACTGTTAAGTGGTTTTTGTTAATTTATAATGACTGAAAGACATTTCATGGTATTGCTAAAAAAGTATTAATTGTCAGGTCATACATATAACCCTAGACCTCACATTTATTTTCACTTAAGATGTGATGGTATTAAATGCTTTTTCCTAAAACCCTAATAATAGAATTTATAAGTAAGGTGTGATATGAATAGTGCAGTCCTTGGATTTTGAATACCAATATCAAATCATTTCATATCCTGATTTTTTAAAAAACTAACCCACAGATGTCTTTTTTAACCATCAGAGGATGTAAAACTGTTGGCCTTTTTATTCTTAGTTCTCTTCAGTAACAGGGTTATATATTAATTACTAGTTTGAGGATTTTCATTAATCCCGAAAGTGGTAAATATGGTATAAAGAAGAAAAATGATTTTTCATTTTCTTTCACGTAGAATAGATTCACTAAGATTCTTCTGCCATAAAGAATGTTTCACAGAGAAAGTAACCTAAAACCATCTTAGAAAGTGGGTATAGTGCAAGCAGTTGTTCAGAATAACCATATGCTAGGAAATTAATACCAAGATTTCATTATTCACAAGCGACTAGATCCAGCATCTTTTGTACTGCAGAACTACAGTAGGCTTTTCTTGGGTAAATACTGTATATTCTGTTTCAGAAGTGAAAAACCCATTCCCCAAAGGCGGTAGCTATATGATTCAGGTAGCCCACCAAATAATTTTGAAAATGGGATGTATGTATTTTGGCTGCTACACCAGTTAAGTGAGATATTGCTCTGGGAAAACTTACTGGTATGTTAGGCCATGCTAAAAGACATGCACCAGAAAACCCCCAAAGATTTTGTGCAACGCCTATATTGTTTCAGTATACCTCTGTGAAACCACATATAGAAGCTTTATGGGGATAAAAAATGACCATTTCCCGAAACTTTAGGAAGCCTAGGAGTCTTGCGTTTGGCCTTATTCTTTCAATATTTTTAAAAAGATTTTATTTTTAAGTAATGTTTGCATCAAACGTATGACTCAAAATCCTGAGATCAAGAGTTGCATAGTCTACCAGCTGAGTGAGCCAGGCAGGTGCCCATGGAATCACCTGTTTAAAGCCTTCGGTGGGCCTAAACTTGCTAAATGGTGTGTATGGGTCTCTGTTGCTAGGTCAGTCACCTTTGGTAAAATTGTAGTAAGGTTACATTAGTTTTTAAGTGGTTTTGTGTATTTTAATGTGGAGTTAAGCAGCACATCACATTGTTCATGAAAACCTCAGGCATTCCTTAGAACAAGGCTGAAGAAGTTGTTTAAATGGTTTTGCAAAACAAATACAGGTTCACATGGGGAAGTAAAAACCTAAGAACAGAGACACTAAGTGGGGAAGAGACAAAAGTAGCCAGATGTTACTGTATTCTGGGTCTCCATGTTAGTCATTCTTTTATAGCTGGAATCCATCACCTTTATGCTAAGCCACAGGTATTTTTGTAGCCATTTGCAAAAGTCTGGTATGTAACTTGAGAGAGGTCTCTGCAGAATTGGCATACTAATAATGTTGAAGTTAGATTGGGAAATAGCAGATACATCATCTGCTATAAGATTTGCAGTTTGAGTTTGAAGTCAGCCTAGTTTTCTCATAGGCTGTGCCTGTAATAAAGCGTAATCTAAGGACAGATGAAAACTGATGATGATGCATTAAGTCCTGTGTTAGATGGTGTTTATTAGAATGGAAAGTAAAGGGAAATTACTTACACTTGGGTTTTCTAGAAGGCTTTTAAGGAACTTGGATTCAACTGGATCTATGTGGCAGTATTCCAGAAGGTAAAAGGATGTTTGGTGTGAACCTTCACTTAGTTTACAATCTTTGCTATTATGGTTTGGATCCCCTATGCCTTTTTTTCTTTTTCTTTTCTTTTTTTGAGAGCACATGCAAGCAGGGGAGGGGCTGACAGGTAGAATCCCCAAGCAGGCTCTGCACTTGATCGCATGACCCTGGGCTCATAACCTGAGCTGAAATCAAGAGTTGGACTCTGAAATGACTGAGCCACTAAGGTATCCCTCCCTGAATCCCCTATATCTTTTATAAGGACATCTGGTATAGTGAATTTGGGGACTCCTTTTTTAAACTTTAAGGTTTTTATTAGCTTTCTTGAATGGATAGTAGTCACAACCTTTGATAGCATTTGGGTTTTATTTCAGGAACTCCAATAAATCAGCTATCAGTCTGCTAGTTAAACTTTGGCAAGTGGTAGTAATTTGAAGTTGCACTCAACTCGCTGAACGTAAATCAGATATGTTGAAATACAGGAAACTGCCAGTAAGTAGTTGACCATTTTTGACCCACAAACATGGCAATTTCTTATGGCTCCACCTAAATAATACCATTTTTAAAAGTATGATCATTTACTCTAGAAATCCAGCCAAGAGTTGAATCATCCAGAAAACCCCTTATTAATTGATGAGGGATGTACATATACTCTGTAAGGAAATACGTTAATTTTGTTTTAAAAGGGTTAATCATCAGTGGATCACCTCATAATGAATCATCTGTACCTTCTATATTACTACTTAAGTAATGAAGTAAGGTATAGACTGTAATGTAGCTTTCTCTGTAAAAGGATCTCCAGTACGTTTGTTTTTCATATTATTTACTTCGATAATTCAAAAATTGTAGGTATAAGTGTATAGAATTGGGAGTTTCTGTGTATTTAAACCAGACATTTCCAACTATGCTGTATGCAATCTAAGGATAGCAAAAAAAACAAGGGCAAGATTATTTTTCACTGATCTCGGTCTTAAAAGCCCCAATACTCAACTAATATACTAGTGAATAATTTATCATGTTTCTTTGTGTTTCAGTGATTGGTAGGTTTTTCTTGAGGTGAAATTACAGGGATATTTTCTGAATATTTTGTACCTTTTTTACTTGGATTGTCAAAAGTAGCTATTCATTTTTTAATTTCGAGAGTATTACCAAAACATTTCCCATAGTTTTTGTGGATAAACCAATTTATATTGTTGCCTTTGAGCTTATTACACCAACTTGTTTGAGCTTCATTTTTCAACCTGCCCGTTTTCAGGTTATAAAGTATGTAAACATTATTTTTCAAATGCCGTTAATTGTAGCCATACCAAGGTAACAGCAAGTATTAACATATTCTTAACATATTCCAGATTATACCTCAACACTGGATTGTAGACCTTGTCCTTGGGTCAGGAAAAACTAGGAACACTGGATAGAAGCTCTTTCTATATTCTGTTGCTAAGGCAACACTTGGCTATAAGCAGAGATAAACAGTTCTCTGCCCGTGCCAAGAGTAAAAAGCAGAGCTTAGGTCATTTAAGTTTCCTGGTACTCAAGGTTACTCACAGTCCAAGATTTTTTTTCATAACCAAAAACCCACTCTAGCATTTTACGTAGTGTTTTTTTGTACTTTATCTCAAATTTAGATTTTTTTTTCTATCATACTCTTCTCCCATTGAAACAGTTGTTTCCATTTTAGCCTGATGTGTTGAAAGGTAAACGTGACTTGTCAACTCTTTAAAAGAAGCATTCTGCTTGAGTGAATTTTTTAAATAACTATATCTGATGCAGGGTTTTAAAGGTAAGGCATACACTTTGAGTATGCTGAACATATAGCTCAATATCCTTAGGGTTTTACCCGTGTTAAGATGTTAGTTATCTAATTTTTACTTCTGTCTTTTGCCTCCACTCTAGAGTAAATTAAGGATAGCAGACAAAACCATATAAGCCAGCTTTTAGAATTAGAATATATATGTATAAATATTCCACTTATTTTCATATAAGTTCTCAACTGTTTCTTGAATGATTTGGGTGTTCTGGATACTGATTTGTAGAACTGGAATTTTTTTTTATGCTTCCATAGGTATTTCCACCATTAGGAAAATGCTTGAAGGCAAGAGAGGGGAAAAGGTTAAATTTTGAGGACCACTTACTGTTATACCCTACTTTCATCACCAACAAAGCATTTTTTATAAAGCAGCATAGGACTCCTCTAATAATGTCAAACTCAGGCAGTGAAGGCAAAAGTAGGGGAATTAAATCTCTGGTATGCCAGATACTCCTAATCTCCTAGTGTTGTGTTCATACCTTCCTCCCACCCGCCACTGCCTGCTTTAAAAAACATTTGAGTACTTACTGATAAAAAGGCCCCAAGCTGAACATATTCAAGTCCTAGACTCAGATTTCATTACCACTAAGGAAAACATCCCTGGTTTTCAAATATGTGAAAGGTACCACAGTACAGAGGTTAACAAGTATGGAACTTGAGGTTTGAGAAAGATCAGTCTCATCTGGAATGCAGTTTTGGTTAAGTTACTTAATCTCACTGTTGTTTCCTTGTGAAACAAATTCTTACTTGGCACGATGTAAGTAGTCAACATTAACATTACACATCAACTATCTTATTAAAAGAAAACCTAAACACTAAAAGATGAAGGCTCTTTTACACAAAGTCTACTTGCATCAGTTACCAGCTATGATCTGGAGACCTCTTGCAAGTGATCTTTTCCCAAGAAAAATGGTAGGAGTGTTTAATAGCCTACAATGAAATGTGGATTCTTCTACTTAAGGTAAGCCTAGAGGAAATAAAACATTACTATGAAAGAGAAACGTGTTCTGTTGTGCTCAGTGTTATTTTAAAGCGTTTTTCATTGTCTTAATACTTGTCTTTAAACAGGTGTGCTATTTGCTTTAAACACCTAAAAGTATACCTACTAGATGAAGTTTTCCCTTTTAGGGTTCATGCTTGATTGCCTGTGGGCATATTCACGCACTTCCTTTTTGTCTTTCAAAAATTTGTTTTTACTTTTAATTGATCATATCTCAAAACTCTTGTTCATAGAAACTTGATTAGTCCAAAAGACTGAAATAAACCGTTAGTAAGCCAAAATACAGTTGGTCTTCATTATTAGCAGATTCCTTATTTGCAAATTCACCTGCTTGGTAAAATTTACTTGTAACCCCAAAAACATGAGGTAGGTACTTTCCTAGTCATTCACAGCCACGAAGAATAGTGAAAAATTTAAATCACCCAATGCACCAAGTGCCTTGTTTCATTTATAATACTGTAAACAAGTATCCCTTGTGGTCCATTTAATGCCAAGTTCTTCACATTTTGTCCTTATTGGTGACTTTCTTGTTTAATTGCCCTCAAGCCTAGTGAAGTGCTGCCTAGCCTTCCTAAACACAAGGCTGAGATATGCTGACAGGAGCTATTGTTGACAAATCTGATGCTAAGGAATCAACAAATAAGGTGTCCTTAAATAGAAGCACACATAAAGCAAAAGTTATATATTGAATGGTTGATAAATATGTAACCCAGAGGTACAGAGGTATGAACAAATGGTTTGGTGTTTGCTACATTAAGTGTTCTCAATAATTTCATAGAACATAACTACTTTGAATCACAACTGTACCTTTATATCCTTTTACTAAAAAAAGACTTATTCCACATAATAGCTATGGCTGCTACAGCAGCCATACTTTCTGGTATGGTACTTTCTCATACTCTAAATCATAAGGAAACTGGATAGAAAATCCAAGGAGCAATCCAACTCTGAAGCATGGATAAACAATCCAAAGTTAAATAGGATTGCCTCCAACATTTTGACTTTGAAGGTCTTCACTGATAATTAAGAACTTTTAAGATGACTTAAGGTTTAGATGGTAGGTAGTATAAATTATTTTAGAGCTAAAGATAGTATTTTTGCTGGTGGCCACAAACAGGTCTGGTTAAGATCCCTGTTTTGTGTTAGGCCAACAGTAAGTCATTTACCCTCAAATATCATTTAAATAGTATAAATACTCCAGAGTCCAAGCTGAGTATTTTGGTAACAGCGTTTCAGTTTTCAGTTTGCTGTTTGTTTAGCCTTGGTCATAACGTGCAAAAGTTTATTATGCCAAAAAAAAAAATTATAAACTGTCCATTTCTTTTAAGTGGCTAGTTGAATACAATGTAAAAATTTTCTTGATTAGAAACAAGAGCTATACTCTCAAATCTTCTGGTATAGTTTTTAGTGTATGAAATAGAAATTATGTCAATAATATATATAGTTAGATATATTTCTTAGGTCAAAGATAAAGCTAAACTCATTTTTAAATTTTAAGGTTCCAAGCAGTGGATCAGTTTTCTGAACTTTGAACAGCCTTTTCTTACAATAAGATAAATCCCTCCTATAACAACCTGTGTGAATTCATACCATCCTAATACCACATTGTATTTTTTTGAGACTGTGCATGCACATGTGTGAGCCTGGGAAAGGGGGAGCAAGAGAGAATCTTAAGCAGGCTTCATGCCCAGTGGAGAGCCTTACATGGGGCTTGATTTCATGACTGAGATCATGACCTGAGACTGAGCCACCCAGGTGCCCCTATCACATTGTATTTTATTTTATTTATTTATTTATTTTTTTAATGTTTTTTTATTTATTTCTAGGAGAGAGAGAGCGTGAGCAGGGGAGGGTCATAGAGAGAGGGAGTCACAGACTGAAACAGGCTCCAGGCTCTGAGCTGGCAGTCAGCACAGAGCCCGACGCGGGGCTCGAACCCACGAACCGCGAGATCACGACCTAAGCGAAAGCCGGACGCTTAACCGACTAAGCCACCCAGGCGCCCCTGTATTTTATTTTTTTTAAACATTAAAAATTTTTTTTTTGAGAGAGAGACCTCATGAGCAGGTGAGGGTCAGAGAGGGAGACACAGAATCTGAAGCAGGCTCCAGTCTCTGAGCTAGCTGTCAGCTCAGAGCCCCACGCAGGGCTTGAACCCATGAACCGTGAGATCATGACCTGAGCCGAAGTCAGACACTTAACCAACTGAACCACCCAGATGCCCCTCACATTGTATTTTAATTGCCAGTTTATCAGTATCCTAGTAGATTGGGGGCCCCTTCAAAGTCAGAGACTGTAACATTCATTTTGCCTTGAAGTAGGTAAGAAATTACTTCCTAAATGAATAATGAACAATATTGCTGTTTAGATGGTAGATATGTATCCATAACTACTGAGTGTTAAATCTCCAAATAATTTATCTGATTTAAAATCCTCAAATTCAAAGAAACTTGTACCAAAGTTTTGGTTTAGCTTGTGCTAAATCATTTTTAAAATTTGTAGCATTGAGGCCTTTTATTATAAAAAGCTAGCACTGATATACATAAACTAACAAGAACTTAAAATTCACACATTTACTTCATTTTTTAGCTTGACCTTCTAGTAAATCTTTAGCTTCATTGATTTTGGCTGCTATATAAGGAGATCCTCCTATAGGGAAAAAGAAAAAGGAATAGTTATTATATGGTTTCTTAATTTCTGGTGAAAACCTGTTTTCTTCAAGGATCCCTATGGTTCTCTGATAGGTGGAATGAGCAGAAATGGTATTTTGACTTTAACGTTATTAGGACACTGCAACCAGATCACCAAATGTATAGTAATCTATATGGCTAACAGTAAATGAAGTAATTCATATGAGGAACATTTCCACAAAAATGGCACCTTCAAAAACAAGCTGATAGAAACAGGATTAAAGAAAACCTCCACATGTGACCTTGCGTTAGTGTACGTTACCAACTTATGATGACTGTAAGGTGCAAATGAACATGAATTTATTGTACCATATTATTCTGAAAACACGATGTTCTCAGAGGTTTCTGAGCTTTGTTGGAAACACCACACTATGATTTGAACTCTTTATCCAGTTTTTCTTTCATGTTACTATTGTGCCTTCATAGTGTTACCTACAGGTGCCTTTCTACTACTCTGCTGGAGCAATGATTCTCAAAGTGTGGTTCTGAGACCAGCAAACATCAGCATCCCAGTAAGAAGCCTGGATGAAATGCAACATCACAGGCTCTATCTATACTGTACTTAATGAATCAGAAGTCCCACAGTTAAGGCAAGCTACATTTTGTTAAAGGAGGCTATTGCAGTCAGATACAAACAATCACAACCAAGTTTAAACTCAAAAAACACTCTTCATGAAAGGCCTGGTCTATGAAAGTAAAAGGATTTGTGTACTGGAACATGGATTTTGAGGTCTGTGTTTTGGTATTCCTAAATAATTATTTGATCCTATACGTTTTAACTAGGTAACCTAAAATTCAAAGATGTAAATGGATAGAAAAAATTAAGTTTTTAGTTTAACCGAAACTTAACAATTTTCTTTAAGAATATAGGCACCCCCCTCAGCTACTTTCAAATGACATGGTCATTATTCTATAAAATTTTCACACAGGACTTACTCTTTTAAGACACTGGAAAACTGATCCAGCCTGGGCAACAGTACTTACATACAGATTTAGGTATTTCCCTTGTAACAGCCAAGAATTAAATATGAAATTATTCCCCTAGTAATAATTAGTCACTTTAAAACATGTATAATAAGAATTTAACAGCTACTTACCCTTGTCTGGGTGATTTAAAAGCATGATTCGTCGATGAGCATCTCTTATTTTTCCTTTATTGGCAGTAGGGCTAATTTAAAAAGGAGAAGGTACAGTTTACTTCAGACTGTGTGGATTACATAAAAAAATTGTATATAAAAGCCAGTTAAAGACGCTGTGATACTGGAGGCAAGTCAAAACAGTATGAAAAGTAGTTTCGGAACTTTACTATCACACAAGGAAGATGAATATTCTGAATCAGGAAAATAAACAGCTCCTTACAAAAATAAGACATTCTTAAAAAAATTTAGTTGAACTTGATAATTATAAAAGTCCTTTTACTAAAAGGTAAAGCACATTTTAAGTATCTGGAAATAAAGGCAGAATTTCACCACAAAAAAAAAATGTGTTCTAGAAAACAGCATTGAGCACTGATTATTTAAAAGCCTATCTTTCAATGAATTAAGTGCTTACGTGCCAGCTGCCTTCTCATTGGACTTTTGTAGCGATTGTTTAGATCTTAAAAATGTATATAACACCATTATAATTCTTAAAAGATCTTTTATGTTTGCGCATAGCTCTAGAATTGTAGATATATATTACAAATATTAGAAATTACCTTACGCCTAGTATTAATGCTGCTTCTCGTTTTGTCATTTTGGGTTCAAACCCACCTCTGTAATAGCCACCACTGAAGGCCTGAAAGGAAATGTATTTGTAAAAATAGATTATTAGAATAAACAAAGTTTATTAATGTTGAGTACTGAAAAACAATGTTTTTTAATGTTGATAACTAGAAACAGCAGAAAAAATTCAGGCATTTCAGAGAGCTTTAACTGCAATTCCTATGGCATTTTAGCTTTATAGGTAGCAGTAAATACTTTAAAGATTGTTAAACATTGATTTTTTTTCCCCCCAGAAAAACTGTCTTAAAAATATAAGACGGGGCGCCTGGGTGGCTTAGTCGGTTAAGCCTCCGACTTTCGCTTAGGTCATGATCTCGCGGTTTGTGGGTTTGAGCCCCGCGTCGGGCTCTGTGCTGACTGCCAGCTCAGAGCCTGGAGCCTGTTTCAGTCTGTGACTCCCTCTCTCTCTGACCCTCCCCTGTTCACGCTGTCTCTCTCTCTCTCCTAGAAATAAATAAAAATAATATATATATAGGACAAAATAGCAGTGCCTCAAAGCCAGTTCTTCTGGGAATAATAGGAGTATTATTCCAATTTAGCTGTGTTAATAGATAAAAATTTGATGTAAGAATATGATTACATGTTTTAGAAAAACAAGTGCCTCAAGAAAAGGATTTGGAGATCTTTTCAGATGAGTGGTTCAAGGATATTTTGAGGGTTAAGGCAACTACTAAAACTACCAAAACAAAACTTTAAGATACGTACAGAGAAAATCAGGCTACGAGGTCCTCTGACCTTGTTATGTCACTCTGTTCTGTCACATTCAATAACAATAAAATAAATACTCAACAGGTTGCCACAACCAATTTCATTGTGAACTAGGACCATGGAAGGTGTGGTATTCATATCCAGTCATACTGTATAGCCTACTTAACTCCAGTGATATCCAACTATCTTAGGGAATGCCAGGGCCACACAGTTAAGAATGGATCAATTCAGATACCTAGATCCCTCTGTGTGTGTGTGATGCAGAGCAAGATGAGGGAGGGCAAGAATTGGTGGACAAATGATACTGAAGTTAACAGTCTACACAGCAAAGTGGAATTGACTTTCATGATACCAGAATCATGATAATCCCTCAGCCCCAGTTCTTTCATACAAAACATTTGATTTTTTTTTTTTTTTTTTAGGGTAACAACATTACAAAGCTCAGAACCCTCCTTTTGGGAAGCAAGAGGAGGGGCCCAATGTAATCTCATAGATGTCCAGAAATCTACCCTCTTCAAGTGTGATTCTGGGTTTCATACACAGCAAAGAAGTAGCAAAAATGTTTGGTCTTACAGATTTTGGTAGACTATGAATAACTTGTTTTACTTGAGGCTCCACATGTTTCATGGCTTGCAAAACATAACGGCCTAAAAACAAAAGCAACAAAATAATTAAAAAGTCTCCAACTTCCCCTGCTTTAGTTCCACTCCCAAACCATAAACAAACCTGCAAATCCTGCAGCAGCAATGGTCAGTCCAACTGCTACCACTGTACTGGCCTGGTAAGGGGAAGCAGAGTAAATATTTACTTCTTTAAATTATAACCCTTCCCTACCATACCCATTCTCCCATCCCACCTCATCACAAGTTTTATTTCAAAGGGACAAACAACTTTTAGGGTGAAAATATCCTACCCAATAATCCTTTAAAAGGACTGCAACTTTTATGTCCAATTCATTGTAAAGGTACAGGATTTTCACTGTGAAAGGGCAGTCAATTTGCTTATTTACTTTTACAGCAGTGATGAAAAGGATGATTTCCCTCCTTTTGAAAACGTCTTTTGCATCTCCAGGGAAATGAGGCCACATTAAAGGTCAATCAAGAGGAATGGAAATAAAATTTCTGTTAGATAAAGAACGGTTTTAAGGTCACTGTAGAATTCTGATAACGCATTTCAACGTTAAACGTGGACTTCACTAGACTAGCTTTTAGAGCGCCTTGGCACTGTGGCGTCTCTCGACCACAGAGCCAAAGCCCAAATGCGTTCAGGAAACGAGAAAGATGTATCGGTAAGAGCCATGGAAAAAGAGCAAATCAGAGAAAGAAGTTAGGATGTCTTCCGGGAAGGGCAGATCTAATCAAACGCGATTCCATTAATCTCTCAGCCTCGGAGACGATGGACCAGGGTCTGCAGCCCCCTGTTCAAAGGCCATAGTAGAACACAAAGGTCCTTAAGGGCTGAGCCAATAGCTCTGTGTCCTGGAGGGTGAGACTCTTCGGGGCCCTACGTTTTCAGTCCAAAGTCTCATTGGGGAGACAACCTCGGCTCCCCGCCTCCCAGGTCGCGCCTGGGCCCGAGATCGCACAGGGACCAGAAGGCCGCACTCACCATGGCTCTGGCTCGGCTCCCCTGCCTTCACCGAGAGCGCGGTTCATCCCAGCCCAAAGGCCGTAGCCACAGATCTTCACGCCCCTACCAGACAGCGACGCGGCCACCAGCAGGCAGAAACCGCTCAGACACTGGAGCCCAGGAAATACGGCAGGAGCGGCCGCAAACTAGGCCGGAAAACTGTCGTAAAAGGGGAGAGTAGTGGGCCGTAGGGGAAAGGTCGCTCAAGCAGTGGGCAGGTGCGGAACGCGACTTCAGATTGGCTGATGGGTGGGCGGATGGCCTCTTACTGGGCTCAAAGCTGGGGCTTTTTTGTGTTTTGCCCTTTGCTACCTGGCCGAAGGTATTTGAAAATTCTTGTGGGGAAAGGTATTGGTGCCGCAGGGCGTGAACAAATACTGTGTAGCCTTACCCAGAACGTTTTTCCTCCCTACTCGGCACATGCATTCACCGTTTATTTCGTTTATGATTGTCAAGGGTAATGAATATTCTTAAATATACCGTAACAGTTCCACTGTGAAGCCAAGTAAATACGTAGCAAGCCCGTATAGCAAACGAGAGTATGTCCCAGAAAACCGAAACTACAAACCACATTGTGTTTTAGGGGTGCTCGGTAGCATTCTCTTATTTAAAAGAATTTTATTTTAATTTGTGACTTGATAGGACCTTGTATAAATATTTGGGGTTTTGTTTTGTAGAGTAGAATTACCACTTTAAGTACAGTTAATATTTTGATCATGATGTCCCCAAATCCCCCCAGCCCCTCAAAAAGTAGGGTTGGTTTTGCCATTACAGGGCATCAGTTTCATATATCCCTACATATACGCTAGAGAAAAGTACCAGAGACATTTACTGAAATTTTACAATGTTTGGATGATCAAGTAAGTTTGGAGTTACTTTCCACTTAGAATTTACAAAGTATTAAAAATTTGATTACATTGCAATGAAATTCTGCTTTGATTAGTTGGTTGTATATTAGACAAGCATGCCAATTTTTTGGCCTTGTTTTCCCTATCTAAAAAAGATTCTGTATTTAGATCTTTAAGAACTCTTCTAGCCCTTAATTTAGAGTAAGGGAGATTTTTGTAATGTAATTTATTGTGAACAAAATTTCTTATTATGTGTTTCTGTATGTACAAACTGCAGCATACAGCTTGCTTGAGGAATAGGTTAACATACAGAAGCCCAGCCTCAGGAAACCAAGGATAAGTAACACAGACACTTGAAGTTGAAGTGGACAGGGCCCTGGTTTTGGAGGCAGATTTAAATAGATGTACAACCTAGTTCTGTCACTAGTTATATGACTTTTGATAAATTATTTGTGACTCTGAGTTTTCTCATTTGTAAAACAAAGGTAATGGTGCACACCTCACTACCTCATACCATGAATTATGTACATGGTATGCTCTGCACGTAATTATCACTCAGTGTATTGGCTATTGTTATTGTGGGGCATGTTGAAGTACAAATTTATGTGCAGAGCCCTTCCCAACTCTCAGTATTTTTCACCTCACTCATGGATGTAAGTCTGGTAATCTTTTCACACTAAGGGCATGGAAAGAATTTTTAAAAATAATCTTTTGAAATTTCCAGCAACTGAAGAATGAATAATCATTCCTTGCTTCTTATAGCTTCTAATGACTGCCAGCATTCCTTGACTTGTGACTGCATCACTTCAATCTTCAGGGAAGGTCAGTATCTTGAAATCTCTCTCTACTCTGTCTTCACATTGACTTTTTTTGTGTGTAAAATCTCCTCTTCCTCTCTTTTAAAGGATACCATAACTGCATTTAGGGCCCAATTCTATAATCCAGGATAGGATCCCCATCTCAAAATCCTTATTCATAGTGGCAGAGACTTTGCCATATAAGAGGTTCTTGGCTTTAGGACCTGCTATCTTTGGGGGCCATTATTTAGAGAAAGCAAAAGAGGGAGTTGTAGGGACAAGAGAATGAGAAAGGACTCTGCCCAATTTCTTTTCCTAAATTTGCTAGTCAGGTAAGTCACTTCTTGGGGAAGAATCAGTGAGAGGTGAGAGTGGATAAATGTTCTTTCAATGTGCCTTTCAAATACTTTGGGACCATGATCTCTTAGTGAGAAATACATTTTATGTTACAGAGGACAAATACATACAGAGGCACACATAGTTTATGGCATACAGCAGAGCAAGTGGTAAAGGATGTTCTCCAATATAGAAGCTATTACACCAGAGATTTATGGTAATAGGTACAAACTATTCAGACCTCTTAAATAGGAATATGAAAAAAACTTTGAGAAGAAACAAGTCCTATCTAATTTGGGGCATAGATCAACAACCTCATCAGGTTAGGAAGACTTGACATGGCTGAGTCGCTTTCTACATTGATGCAATATTACTTTCTTCACCTTTCCTTCTCAGTGATCAATTTATATTCTGGGATAGCTTGGTGGGGTAGCCCATTAATATGGGCCAATATTAGAGCTCTGAATCTAAATTGCTATATTCTGTTATTAATAGGAATCCAAATATTAGTGAGATCATAAGTGTGTATAGCCATGAATTCCCATGAGCACTTAACCTCCAAACGAAAAGGATACTCTGAAGTTAGTTTAAAATGTTATGCACAATCATGGGGTGCCTGGGTGACTTAGTCGGTTAAGCATCTGACTTTTGATTTTGGCTCACTCATGATTTCACAGTTCTTAGATCAGCCTTGCATTGGCTCTGTCAGTGAGGAGGCTACTTGGGATTCTTTCTCTCCCTCTCTCTCTGCCCCTCCCCCACTCATGCGTGTGCACGCGTGCTCTCTCTCTCAAAAAATAAATGAACTTAAAAAATGTTATGTACAATCAAAAGTGATTGTTAGAGATGATCTCTCAGGGCAATGTAACCTACCATTTCTTCTGGACCTATATCAAAAACAGCAAACGACTCTACTAGAACTTGAAAGAAAATGGCATAGGACATGAGAAACTATAGAAATACCTAGAATACTGGTAGAGCTGCAAACATCTTCAGAGAAAAGCCTCCTTATTGACCATTTTGTAAAATACACTATTACATTCAGAGCTGAGTAATTTGGTGAAACTAGAGGTGATTCAGGAAATTGGGTAGTCTCCTGCTTTCTGCCAATCCACAGCAAACTGCTCTGTCTGCATTTCCTGCATCCTGAACCCTCAAATAACTGCTCTGTGAAGTTAACAATGTCTGAATTCTAATTTGCATTTCTTATTCTAAGATGATGTTGACAGTATAGTTTGTGGTTTTACTTTTTGTCTTCTCAGAGAACACTTAACTTCAGAGTTTATTTTCCAAGCCTTAGAAAAAAACAAGTCTTCTCACAGATTGCTGAATGATAGTTGGTCTTGCCAATGGCTGAAAATTCAGATAATCAAGAGACAGATTTACTAAAACATGATATATTACAGATCTTGTGCCCGAATCGCGAGTCCAGAGACCTCCAAGGAGCCGGCACCCATGCAAATACAAAAGGGTCTTTATTACAAGCTCGAGCAGGGGCTCACCAGCCTACTGGTGTCGTGGCAGCAAGGTGAAGCGAAGAACAATAGTGAACAGGGTTTTTAAGGAGTAAGGGATGGGGGTGTTACAGTACATGCAGCATCATCACATAAGCACCAATTACAATTACAGCTTTGACCATTCAGTATCTGTGAGGTGTTCATTACTTTTGGTGGGACCCAATCATGACTCTTGAGAATCCTTTGAAAATGACCAATTGTGAAGTGAGTTCAAAGGGCCCACGTGGGGTCAGGCAAGTAGTGAGAAATTGGCTAGTTTGTATCTGCAGTTCCCAGCCTTGACTCAGACCATAGGAACGTTTCTTTTTTCTTTTTGATTAGCTGAACTGAGGGCGGTCTGAGGATGGCTTTAGCCTTGAACAGTCTGAGGCTTTTCCTGGGACTGGGACTGGGGCTACGTGCAGCCCGAGGTTTCTCTTAATGGAGGACTTAATTTTTGGCTCTTCAATCTTTTTTTGCAGTTTTGAGGTATAGCCTTCTGAGACTCCATATTCAATCCAGTGGGTTCCAAATGGATCTAAAATGGTTCAGTTCAATAGGAAATAGATGGTGAGTGCTCCAGTCAGTTCTAAGATAACCAAATTGGAGGAAAATTATTAGAGCTGTATGACTGGATCTGGTCTTAGAATTTTAGGTAAGTTCACTTTAAAATAATAGGATTGTTAAAGGAGGCAAAGAAACAGAACTTTTGGTCAGTTCTGTGTCAGAAATCCTGGATGGATTTGAGAAAAAGGCACACTTAGAGACACATACATGGGCTTCATCTTATTTTCTTGTGGAGGCTGAATGGGTGAAAGGATAAGACCACCTTTCTGATGTAAAAGAAACCCCTTCTTTTATTGCCAAAATCCTTTCTGCCTGGACTTGGATCGGTTCTGTGACCACAATGTCTGCTTTCCTAGGGTTCTGGAAGGCATTGCCTTGCTAGGCTTTCAACCATTCTTTAGGTATTCAACCAAGAATCAAGTTCCTTCCTTTTGATACATAACATCATTCATCTGATGAAGCTTTTCAGGGTGTTTCTTTGTCTTTGTCATCAGCTCCCATCACACTTGAGCAAGCTTTTCCTACCACATTTTCATTTGCATTCAACAATTCCTTTCAAAGTTTCTTGATCTTTAGCTCTTCAAGCATTGTATTCACAGAAACTGTCTGAAGGGCTTCTAGGTCTATCATACAGCCAAACTTTCTGATGATTAGTTGACAGACTGTTTCTTCTTTTGCTTATAGTTTTGCCATCTCTTTGGATAAGCTGTTTATACCTCTCCCAACATTCTTTGTTAAGTTTTCCTCCACCTGGGCCTGCAGACCCTTCCTGTTTCACTTCGGGGGGGCCTCCTTTTCATCTTGACCCTTCATCTACTGTTGCTTAAAACTAGGAGCATTTCCTAATCATATTGAAATCTCTTTTCTGGAACTTCTCCTGGGAATATCTGGTGCATTTAGGGACTAGGAATATGCTTAGATATGTGAAGGATTGACTGAATACTCCTCATTTCTTATACCAGGCACTGTATTTCCTTGATGACAGCCACTTTAAGGTCTTGAAGAGCAAGGATACACTTGTTCATGTGCATTTTCTTTGAATGGGCCATGGAGTCTGGGTGTCCCAGTTTCTCTTTCTTCTTGGCAGTGTTTATTCTCACATG